GCTCAAACTTTTGACGTTAAAACCTCATAGAAGCTAATGCTAATAGCTACTAATAAACTAGCCTTGCTTGTTGCCTCTTTTAGTGGTTGGTTCACTGAAGCCGTTTTATTAACGTCCAAAAATCACTGATCACTGTTTTTACAACAGCAGAAATGTTGGCTGACTGTGTTTTTGTTCAGACACTGACAGTTTGGGTCTCCATCTATCCTCTTATGAGTGTGAAAACAATCTACTTCACAGAAAATCGGTGGCCAGGCCTCCATCACATAGTGCTTTGCCACCGATCCCAAAGCCGGTACAGTCTGTCCATGTGATGTCTTGTCAGAGGAATTTGTGCTAGATTTGTATCATAAAAAATTCAGAGAGGAACACAATGCCAAATTTAGAAGGCGCCATGTAAGAGCAGGTCATTTATCATCATCACTCTGATGCAGTTTGAATTACGAGGCCTACTGCAGTTGATTGTCTTGCTACGAACCCGGAGTGATGTGCATGATGCAGTTGTTGTATAAACTCTTTCTGTACTTTCCACAGAAGTGGAAAGTAGAGGCTTTCCACATATACTAATTCCCAATGGTTTCCTCGAGACAAGACGTTAACTTAATGGTGGTTAACAAGTCAACAAGTTAACCTCTGGAAAACAAACTTGCACACCTTTGCAGCCTGCATTTGAAACATCCAATCAAGTCATCACACGCCAATCATCTTGTGATCTAGAGAATACAAAGTTTCTTTTCTTGTTATCTCGGGAAAACCACTGGGGAAAACGTACATGCGGAAAACGTCTGCTCTCTCGGCATCCGTAAGACTGAACACCGTTCTGTGAGGCTGTTTAAGAGCGTAACTCGGCTTTAAACCGATTCACACCTTCCTTCCAGAGCTCTGTGCCGTGTTCATCGGATGTCATGGCGCTGTTTGTTCACCAACAGGTGTAGGTTTTGCTGCCCTTACTCAGCTCTTTGAAAACAAAATATCTACGTTCTACATTTGCTGTATTATGAATAAGTGTGTGAGCCAATACAAGGGGAATCCAGACCAATAAAAACCCAGAAGGACTTTGGAAGAGCACAGCAGAACACAAAGTGTCAATCATCCCAAGCTTCTTCACACAGCGAACAAACACAAAGTCTGCGGCTGACAACATGTTGAGCTTCGTCCCTGCCTGCTCCTTTGTGAATGTGCGCTGGTGTGGATGGAATAATCTGCTCTGGTCCCGTAGCCAGACTAGCAAATCATCTCAGAAAAGACAAGAGAAAAGAGAAAGGGGAGGGAGGTGATTCCAAGGGAGAAAGCAGCAACTCAGTCGGCGACAAAGATGGAAAATTCAGGAGGCAGATGAGCTGTAAACCACTATTTTTTTTCTCTTTTTTTAGAAGTGGAGCAGTTAAATCTTACAGCTCAACACAAACGGCTTTTTTTTTTTTAATTTAAACAATACAGCAAATAATCCATCAATATGAGTTATACCAGCTGTCCTATCGCTCACACGCCGACGCTGCCTCTGACAAACAGACATGAGTTCACGCTCGCGCGGTCACGCCGACAACCTCGGCCGTGCGCGTAGGCCGAGAGGCGGCAAACTGACGGCGCCTCTCCAGATGGGGCCAGATGTGCGTGTGACGCAGGTGAACGCGTGTGTCTGGGAAGAAAAGGAGTAAATGAGTTGCAGCAGGGTCGAGTCTCTGCCAGACTCACACACACGGCAACCTTACCTCCTCCTCCACACACACGCAGCTGTCCTGCAAGCTTTGTGTTTAATGCTGGATGACAAACAGGTCCGTGTTAACATCAGCCCAGCGTTAGGCTCTCCTTCACTCTATGATTCGCCTGCTGAGTTTGTCTGATTTTCTCAAAGTTTTTCTTAATAGTGTGACCCAGTGTCAGTTATTTGTCTAAATAGTAAGAACCCATTTTTGCAGAACGTGTTTATGCAAAACACATGTGTAGCATGTACATAAATGACATTTCACAGCACAAATTCAAAGCACCTGTTGGACTCGAGTAAAATTTTGAATCGATAAACTGATTTATCGCAATTAACCAAAATATGTGACATTTTCAATTCAAAAACACTTTTGCCTATAAAAATATTGAATAAATATAACATAGTATAATAATATGAGCTCAACAACAAAAATGTTTGTTATTCTTATTTTGTTCTTCAAGTTACTCAATCATCATATTAGCGCAAAGTGTTGTTATACCTATTTTTGTCACAATAATAAATTTAGCTGGATGATGTATCGACCTAGAAGTTATCGCCATAAACGATGATATCTTTGTTTTGAGACCATTGTCAACTGATATAATGATGACGACATCGCAAAGAAAGAACACCCTCTCAGAGATCAATGAACTTTAGCTTCTAACCAACAATTTGTTAGCTGAGAAGCAGTTGGAGCTGCTGGAGTGGCTACGATCAGTAGACCTCAAAGTTGAGAACAAACCTTTTCTTAGTTTCTGATATAAAATACGAAATGTCTGAAATGTGACAAAGTGATATTAAAAGTCCAGCCAAGAAAAACACTGTAGTAAGAGCCACTGGTCCTGCGTCCCCAGGGTGTCAACAATGTAAACCTCAGTGTTAAAGCCAGGGGATCGTTTTAAAAAGCTGTTTGTAATTAAGACTTGAATAATTAGAGACAACATGGGGAAAGCATGAGCCTTCCAGACATACAGTACACCCCACCGACGAGCAGCATGTCACGTTGCTTTTATCTGTGTCGCTCCGCAATGCACTGAAATTTCCCTTTAACAAACAGCTCTGCATCAATCTAAGCAGCAATCTGAGACGGGCTTGAAGCCGAAGTGCACTTGTGTTTTGCCCAAAGGTTGTTTTGTATTGTGGTCTTATGCAAATGCGCTTCACCAAGAACTATCTGTGACTCTCGACCCTGCCAACTTTTTCGGGGAACAGAAGGGTCAACAAGGTGCAAAAGCCACAATACAACAGAAATCACAACCGAAGTTATGCTCACACTGAAGAAAGGGCAGAATGATTTTTTTTTTTTTTTTAGCTCAGACAGAAGTTATGCTAATACAGAATTAACGCTGAAGTAGAAGCTGTATGCTAAAACTGAATTCATGCTAAGCTAGATTTTGTAATAAATTTGAATTTTTGCTGAAATGGAATTTCTTCCAAAATGTCATTTATGCTAAAACATAATTTTTTGCCAAGATGTAATTAATGCTGAAGCTAAGTATGCTAAAAATGCAAGCTACGCTAAAATTTAAGCTATACTAAGACTGAATTCATGCCAGATTTATGGCTAAAACTAAATTTATACTAAGATTGAAACCATGCAAAAATTAACTTTTTGCTGAGACAAATTTTACGCTGAAGCTGAAATAATACGAAATTTTAATTTTTGCTAATAAGGAATTTATGCTAAATTGAATGATGTTCCACGCAACATTTCTTTGCGTGGAAATAAGCGAAGTGATGAGTGATGGGAAAGTGACGAATTTCTACAGCCCTTCCGCACAACGCTGCCGCGTTTTCGCCCCGTCATTAGCAATCAGGTACAAGCAGCTCTTCTTATTCAAATGAGGCCCACCTGCTGCTGGACTCGCTCCAGAGTGAGCGCAGCTTCAGATGCAGCTGTGAAAGCGCCAAACTGCCAAACTGGAGCAATTCACACAAGTGGATGGAAAGGTCAGGCCCTCTGTGCCAGCAGTGGTTTCAGCAACTATTCATAGCACATTAATATATTTGTGTCATGGTGCAACCGCAAACCTCAGTTTATGTTATTGGGGTTTTATGCGATGGACCAACATAAAGTGGTTTGTATTGTGTAGTGGGGAAAAAAAACCTCATAAGTCGTTTCCAAATGTTTCACCCATAAAAATCTAAAACTTGTGTCATGTGTTTGCATTTAAATTCTAGACTGGTCCATTAGGGCAGATCTATTCATTCTAATTCTACGCTTTGTGCTCCGATATGTCATGGTTTCTTCTTCATTTTGTTATACTTAGAATTCCTAATTGCACTTTGAGGACCATTTGAAAGGTTTGTTTTTGTTTGTCAGTTTCTTTATCATTTATTTCACACAGGCTCTTCTGCTCCTAATTGCACCGGCTGATCAAATGAAAGTCGTTTTTCCGTGTTTGACCAGGCTTGAGGAGTTATTAGTGTTTTTAAGTGCAGAATCATCAAATAAATTTGTGAATTCAGTACATTTGTGTCTGTGTTTAAAAAAAAAGTGTTTTAAGTCAAATCAAGACCATTTTTCTGTATCTGTATCAGATATCGGTATCAAAAGTTTAAAAATAAAAGTGCATCCTTAGTGAAAATCCAATAAAGTCAACATATTATTGTTCTGTTTGCGATCACAGAACAATAATAAGTCCGGAAAAGTTCCAAAAGGTATGAATACTCAGGCAAGGCGCTGCATTTTCCTGGTGAATTAGGCCACTTGTTGCACGAGTATTTAAGTATTAGGAGCCACAACTGCAGCCCTCTATAGTTTCCCCGAGCTGGTGGTGATGCAGTACATCAGTGGAAGGGAATCAGCAGCTTTAGCCGCCCTGACAGAGTGATGTATCCGCAGCTCTCTGGCTTGCCTCTTCTCCAGCGGTTGCCCACACATTGGAGTGGGCCGCGCCAGAGAATGTTGCAGAAAACGGAGCAACGTTGCAGCACAGACTATAACAGGAGAATTTTTTTTTTTTTTTTTTTTTTTTACGAGTTATCTCTGCTGAGAGGCATGGTCGCAGTACCTCCCTCTTTTTCCTCTGCTGCAGTGGACTTGGCTCACACTGGGGTCTCACTCAGGACGAGCCATCAGTCTCCGATCACTACAATCATCTCTTGTGATGCACGTATGAGCACCCCCACCACCACCACCCATCACGCCCCCCTCCCGTCACAACACTCCCTCCCATCATCCTCAACACTCCGGCCTCGCAGTGGCAAACAGCCTGCAGACTAAAACTGAGAAGCTGCTGTCATCCCAGAGAAAACGACAGAAACGAAAGGAAGTAAACTAAGAGTGTCTTACTTGCTTTCCCCGGTCGAGGCCTCTGGAGCAGCTTCTGCACGGTGAGAAGGTCCTCGGTCTTCACCGCCTGCAGCAGTTCCTGGTCCTTTCCCATCTTCCGCTCGGAGCCGCTCTACTCCCGCAGCATCCTTCAAGCACAAGCGGCGCTTCAGCCTCGGCAGGCGGAGGGTGCGTGTTCCCGCGGCCACGGACAACGCTCCCTCCAACCCCCCCACCACCACCACACCCCGCACACCTCCCTGGCAAGATGAGCCCCCTTCCTCCCCTCCACCCCTCACACACACACACACACTTAGATCTCTAGCATATGATGGGGCGAAAATGGGCCGGAAACGAGAGGAAGAGAGAGAGGGATAGACTCCGCGGGATGGAGGGATGCTCTCGGATTCCCCTCCCCACCTCCAGCACCACTCCCGCCTCTAGGTGCAGCGCTGCTGGATGGAGCCTGGACCTGACGCCGCCGGGCCGTTCAAGGTTCCAGCGTGATATTTCGCCGACTTCGAAAAATAAGGCTCGCCGTCCTGGGGTCTGGTAATGGCTCTCACCCTCCTCTCTCCCCTCCGAGTCCCCCCACCCCCCAAAAAAAACGCCCCCTTCACCAACCGAGCGGCCGGCAGGAGACGTGAGATGTGGCGAAAAGCCTCGCGGGCTCCGAGTCGCCGCGCGTGAAGAAAGACCGTGCGTTCCAAAGGCGGGCGCGCGCGGAGATCTTCCCTCCGGAGGCTGTGACAGTCTCGTGCTCCAGGTCGTAAACACAATCCAGCGGTGCCGCCGCCGCAGCAGCAGCCATCGCGTCGCCGAGTGAGCTCGAAGTCTCTTGTGTTTTCCGCTCCTCTCTCTTTTTTTTTTTTTTTTTTTTTTTTTTGCGTCAGTGGGGCCCGGGGATTGGCGGGGCAGGAATAGTGAAAGGTCCACGTTCACGCGCTCGCGTGCTCTACGGCTGGCTCGGCTCGTACGGTTAATGGCTCGTGTGCGGCAACTCGGGGGCGGACCAGGAGCCGGGTGCTCCCCCTCCCCCCTCCCTCGCGCTTCTCCTTTCATCTCCCTCTCTCTCGCTCGCGCGCTCTCTCTCTCTGGATGTTTCTGTGGCTCTTTGTGGCTCTTCCTCCACAGAAGAGAAAAACAAGCTTGTTTATCACCTGCGGTTAGCTTGCCTTTAAGCTCACTTGTATCATTAAATTTCCTAAAGAAAATAAATAAATAATAATGACTATAATAAAATGTGCATTCCCATTTGTTGCTACTGTATAGGTTGTTCAGGTTTATTTTTAATCTAATTCTGGGTAAATAATTAACTATTAAAATGAACTTGCTGAGAATTTAGTTAGGAAGACCAGAATTGTATTAAATCAATTCTGCGTTGTAAGTTCAGTTACTCTTATAAACACTTTATTCATTTGCGCATGTCATGTTTTAAGTTATCTGTGTTCTGTGTATGGAGCAATAGTTAAGGTTTGATTGGTCTAAAAATTAAAAATAAAGTAGAAAGAGATTTTCTTTCTTTCTTTTTTTTTTTTGAGTCTCCATGTTGCACCCTCCCCACAACAGATGCTCATCCTGGGTGGAGAGCCATAACGCCTTACTGAAAAATCTCACCGGTTAAAAACACAACATTTTTCAAACCATCAAAAATAACTCTGCATTGAATAAATATTTTTAAAACCTACTTTATTATTGAAAAACTTCACTCTCGTGTAAAAATGCACAAACAAGTGCAATTACAACATTATTTTCTCTGGATTACCCTAACTAGATTAAGTTGTTTTTAAAAGGAAATGTTTGGAGCTGTCTCGCCTCAAACACATGGCAGCTTCATGGCTTTTACGCGATCCCTCATTTATTAATATTTTCCTCATTGGTGCAACGGCCAGTGGTTTTGATAGCATCTGAAAGTCTCTGGATGTTCTCATTTATTTTTATTCTGGTTCTGAAACACCACAATTTTCATTTTTAACCTGCGACCAAAAAAAATTTCTCATTGTTATTCTTCACAGTTTTTTTTTTTTTTTTTTTTTTTTTACCTCTGGTAACAAAAATTTGTACAAAAGTCTTAAAGTAGAGTAAATGTTTATTCAATCTAAATACACTTCAAATTCAACTTAGAAATGTTGTAATTCACCCTATCTATTGTTCTACAAAGGATTGTTGACAGGTCTCCTGTAGCAGTATGTATTACAGTGGCTCTGAAGAAGTCTCTTACTGGAGACAGTCTATTTGTGACCACAGAATACTGTTTTTTGCTGCAGTGACTTTTGTTTTTCCTCATTCTTTGCTTTCTTGTTGGTTTGCAAGACAAAAAACAAAAACATGGATTCTTGTCTATCTATGGAAACATAGATAGACAAAGATTTGACTGAAGCATGTCAAATTCTTCTCAATGACACGTCACTGTTGATAGATGAAAAACCATTGCTGACGTGACTTGATTCCTTCACCTTTTCCAGCAACCCTTCACCTTTAATCCCAAACTGTATGTTGTGTTTATAAAGCTCATCAGAGAGACAGGGGGGCATGCAATGTACTCCGTTCAGTAAAACCTGTGTTTTCTCTCCGTCTCTCCTCCAGTTTTATAACTCCATTCTCCTCTTCATTGTGTGTGTGGGCAGTGTGCAGGGCTTGGATGCTGCTCCCTGCCTCCTCCGCATATCCACTGAGTTATGTAAGAACAGTGAAGAGTGGCCCATACTTTAGGAATTTTTATAAATCGGTCTATTGAAAAAGACATTCTCTGTCCTGAAGCTGTGTAAACAGAGCCTCCCTCCTCCCCCCCCCCGCCCCCCCCCTCCCCCCACACATAATTTTGTTGCAGAATAACTTAAAAATTATGTTTTATTATGATTTGTGTGTGTGTGTGTGTGGTAAACCAACACCTAGTAAAGGGTAATTGAGAAGTGGGAGGAAAATAATACGTGGATTTTGAACTTTTTTGGTAAATAAAAAAGAAGGTGATGTACATTTGCATGCAGTCCCATATATGGCTAATAGCTCAACCTCAGTCAACCTCACAGGCATGAGAAGAAAATTTTTCACTGCATCATTAAATGACAGAAGACTTTGAAGACTGATAATCAGAGGAGCAATTTGGTCATATGATGGTAATTTTTAAGGTGTTTCATGTACAGAGGGGAAAAAAGAAGAGCTCATGATAACAACACAATTTCACATAATTTAACTGTTTCGTTAGAGCCCCATTAAAATAGATGGTTTAAGTTTTCACAACAATACACTGCCCTCTAGAGGCCAAGACGAAACAACGTTGCAATTATCATTATTATTATTATTATTATTATTATTATTATATTATTATTATTATTACCATTATTTAAAAAGTAATAATTTTAAAAAATAGTGAGGGAAATTAAGGTACATTTAAGTACGTTTTAAGGACTTTTTTGACTCAAAAAGCTGGCTGGACTTGCCACTCACAACATGGCTGATGCGTTAACGTGTTGTTTCCGGTTAATACAACGAAGCCTCTTCATACGCCTCTCTACGCCTGTGTTTTGATTTGCCAGCGGCTATGTCCGTCAAAGACCCCCCAACGTCGCAAAGTCAGACAGTCGGACTCGGAACAGGTTGAAAAGCCCCGGAGGCTCGTAGCTATATTCAAATACGGCTGGTTGCAGGTTGTGACCGGATCTGATACGCAAGCTGGTAAGGAGCTCAGTTTTGGTTTCTTGTCTCATTTGTTTTATTTATTTATTTTTGTTCTTCCCGACTCTCGGTGGTCCCTGTTAGCCTCGCAGACAGACCCGCTTGCTCTCCGACGCGTGAAAAATCACTTCACGGGTTCGGGAGCTTTGCCTCGGTAGAATTATTTTTAGCGAGATCTCGCGTTGGTTCTCGGGCGTTAGTGTTGGCTAGCCGCTATTCTATGTTGCTAAAGCCGGAACATTTTTTCCAGTCGCAAGTTTGGATTAATAACTCAATTAGCCAACGTGTGCTAGTCTCCTCAGTGGGATTTGGAAACACCCCCTACATTAATCAGTTATTCTGCTAAAATAAATTACACAGACAATTTTTTTGTTGTTCGGTTAGCGTAGCAACATGAAGCTAACGCCGTGACCGTGTTGATAGTAAAGACTTCCCACCGCGCCTAGCATGCTCACAATATGAACTGCAGTTTCTACTAAAAGCAGCAGTAAATTCCCTCTATATGTTTCTCGAAGCCATTACTCGTTTGGACAGTTACGTACATTTTTCTGGTCGTTTTCTGGTGTTAGCCTAGCATTTTCCTTTCTGCGTTGTTGTAAAGACATTTATTACAGCCATTAACACTATGGGCTCCTATAACCCTTGTATTATGTTGAGAAATAATTACATGTATGATGTTGTGGGTCATTTTGACCCGTATTGTGTAATTCATCTCAAAACAATCAAAAATGAAGTCAAACTAGTCAGAACTTTATTTAGATTATATACACACTTATGAGAGATGAGAAGAACAGATACACAACTTGAACACTCTTGAGGGTTGGAGATGTCCCACACATTTCTGTGTTAAGGAGCCACAATGATCTTTATCTGTATCCTGAGAGTGGTCATCATTGTGTCCCAACAATGGGACATCAACGGAAGACTCCCAGAACATCCTGTAATGTATTGGTCAATTGTTTGCATGTCTGAGTGAGAAAGCCAACCTCTTTGTGTATTCACATAATAATAAAAGGCAGTTGGGGACTGAGAGCCGAAGGCTCTTTTCCCCTTTTCTGTGGAAAAGTAATCTGTGTCTTCACCCTTCGACCTGTATACTCCAGCTAACACCAGAATTTCGATGTAGGCATGCAAACCAGTTGGATCCAGTTGTTTCCATTTTTCTTGAAAGAAACGTCTCCCCTCCAAGTTGGTCATCTCAAGAATTATCTTCTCTATGGGTGGGGATATGAAAAGCTGAAATGCTGATTCAATGTCAATAACTCTTGTGACGGAAAATCTTGTTGGACCAGGAGTCATTTTGATGACATTAGAAGATGACAATCTGCCTTGGCTTTCGTGTGGTGATGATGACCATCTTATCTTACCATCTTTAGATGTCCACGTCCCCTTTGTGAATGAGAATAGTTGCGTTTCTTGATTTTCATCTGATGAAGAATCGTCCTCTGAATCTCCTCATCTTGGGAAAAATGACAATCTGGATCATCAACAGCATTGTCCTCTGGCTCTGAAGGATCTTCCGTCTCTGAAATTTCTTCATCGACATCGCTATCCCAATTCAAAATCTTCAATGAAGCTTCTTCTTCTGGAGCTCATTTTGGATGTATCTCTCAAAGAAAGGACATGTAAAAGTGACAAGGAGAGGGAAGAGAAAGTCCCTCCTCCACACACACCTGGTTCTCAATAGCTATTCTGAGGCAATCAAAACCAATCACATCAAAGAGGCATGTTTTTTTGTATTTAAACGGCTACTTTATGTCTGGGTCAAAATGACCCACATCATTGAAACGGGTCAAATTGACCTGAGCATAACAAAAGGGATAACCATACTAATACAGTTAGTAAGCTAGCCTGGCCTTTCAGACTAATCTAAACATTTAATTACACATATAATATATATATATATATATATATATATATATATATATATATATATATATATTATATGTGTAATTAAATGTTTAGATTAGTCTGAAAGGCCAGGCTAGCTTACTAACTGTATTAGTATGGTTATCCCTTTTGTTATGCTCAGGTCAATTTGAAGCATAACAAAAGGCTCAAATTGAGCCTTTTGTATATATATATATATATATATATATATATATATATATATATATATTATATATATATATATATATATATATATATATATATATATATATATATAATTATATATATATATATAAAATAGTGGTGCACGTGCAGTTTTAACAAGACAGATTTTTATAATCTAAACCGGTGTCAAATAATCAATCATGCAAAACATGGTTTACATAATCTTTATTGTACACCTCATAGTACAGTTTTAACTCAATTTGGCAATCAATTTCCAAATTGCACAGGCTAGAGAAAACCCCCACATTTGATCATCCATCAAATTAGTTTTCTGATAAATCTATTCAGAAATATTGTCATACAGATTATTAGAATTTACTGACTTACCTTTGCTTTTTATCTTAATGCAAAACCAACTTGTGTGCTGTTTTAAAATGTAAACAAGAAGCCATTGTTTCCACCATTTACAAAAAAAAAAAGATCACAAAGGAATGATAATTCTGGATGTGTTTCTGTTATCAGTTTGGATTCTTGGAACTGCAGCTTAAAAATAGTAAAACAAAAAACAAACAATGTTCTCCGTTTGAGGGGCTGGAACAGCCAGTCACAAGATTGGATAATAAACTCAAACCAAAGATTCGCCGACTCACATTATTGTTTAAATTCTCCGTTATTTTCAATATTGTCACAGTTTTTGTTCTAATCTATATATTAAAATGAATACTGTTATAGCTTACAGTATAGCTCACAACTTTAATCAGTTGCCCTGCACGGTAAATTATTATTGTTACTTCTAGTAGTTGATATTTTGATTTAGTTATATTTTATCACTGTTTTATATGTAGTTATATCTTGTCATATTACCCTCAATTTCTGAGAATTCCCTTAATGTACCTTTCAGATGTGACTTTTGCACTTTATTTAATAAACGCCTGTGTACTTTTATGTGATTCTCATTCTATTTCACATAGTGATGCTCCAATCAGGATTTTGCTGCCGATTCCGATCACCCACAATCACTGCAGATCATCTGAATTGGCTGTTCATTTTTCTCTTCAAGTATAAATCAATCAATCAATCAATCAAATTTTATTTGTATAGCACATTTCAGCTACAAGGCATTTCAAAGTGCTTTACATCATAAACACAAAACACGAAGGCATGCAACATAGAATAAAATACCAAGATTTTTTTTTTTTTTTTTTTCCTCCCTTTTTTTTCCCCCTTTTTCCACTTTCCCTCTTCTTTCCCTTTCTTCCCCCTTCCCTTGACACGGAATTTAAGCGCCTGTTACCGCCGGACTCCGCCGTCCGTTTAACCACGGGTATTCGCCGGGCCCCGTTGCCCACAACAGGAAAAAAAAAAAAAAAAAAAAAAAAAAAAAATTATTACATACATATCCACAAAATCAAATCCATACATATTACATTTCAAATGCAACTCTAAACAGGTGCGTTTTTACTTGAGATTTGAAGGAAGTCAGGGTTTCCGCTGTTTTTACAGTTTTCTGGAAGTTTGTTCCAAAGTTTTGGTGCATAGATGCTGAAAGCTGCTTCTCCTCTCTTGGTTCTGGTTCTGGGGATGCAGAGCAGACCAGAACCAGAAGACCTGAGAGGTCTGGAAGGTTGATACAAACAACAGCAGATCTTTGATGTATTGTGGTGCTAAACCATTCAGTGATTTGTAAACTAACAACAGTATTTAAAATCTATTCTTTGAGCTACAGGGAGCCAGTGGAGGGACTTTAAAACTGGTGATGTGATCTATTTCTGGTTCTAGTGAGAACGCGAGCAGCAGCATTCTGGATCAGTTGCAGCTGTTTGATTGATTTGTTGGACAGGCCTGTGAAGATGCTGTTGCAATAATCAATGCGACTAAAGACAAACGCATGAATGAGTTTCTCTAGATCTGGCTGAGACATTAGTCCTCTAATCCTGGAGATGTTCTTCAGGTGATAGAAGGCCGATTTTGTTACTGTCTTTATGTGGCTCTGGAGGTTCAAGTCCGAGTCCATCACTACTCCCAGGTTTCGGGCCTGATCACTAGTTTTTAGTTGTGATAACTGAAGCTGTGCATTGACTCTAGATCGTTCCTCTTTAGGTCCAAAAATAATGACTTCAGTTTTATTTTTGTTCAGTTGGAGAAAGTTTTGGCACATCCACACATTTATCTGTTCTAAACATTTATTCAGTGATTGGATGGGTTCAGAGTCACCTGGTGACATCGTAATGTAGAGCTGTGTGTCATCCGCATAGTTGTGGTAGCTAATATTATTTCCTGTTATGACCTGAGCTAGTGGGAGAATATAAATATTAAATAAGAGGGGTCCTAGGATTGAACCTTGGGGTACCCCACATGTGACCTTTGACCTCTTTGATGAGAAGTTTCCAATTGAAACAAAGAAATCCCTGTTCTTTATGTAGGATTCAAACCAGTCGAGCACCGAACCAGAGAGTCCAACCCAACTTTCAAGTCGATTCAGTAATATGTCATGGTCGACAGTGTCAAAAGCTGCACTGAGATCCAACAGAACCAGCACCGTGGTTCTCCCACAGTCCGTATTTATATGGATATCATTGAATACTTTTACGAGGGCAGTCTCCGTGCTGTGGTGAGCACGAAAACCAGACTGGAAAGTGTCAAAGCAGTTGGTCATCATGAGGAAACTATTTAATTGTTTACACACAGTTTTTTCAATAACTTTGCTGATGAATGGGAGGTTTGAGATTGGCCTGTAATTCTGCAATAGTGATTTGTCCAGGTTGTTCTTTTTTAACAGTGGTTTGATGACTGCTGTTTTCAAGGCCTGGGGAAAACACCTGATGTAAGCGATGAGTTTACGATTTGGATCAGATCAGTAGCAATAACAGGCAGGACTTTCTTAAAGAAATGTGTGGGAAGGACATCCAGACAGCAGGAGCTTGAACTTAATTGACTTATAATTTCTTCTAGAGTTTTATAATTAAGTAGTTGAAAATGGGTCATTTTTTCTGTATTTGTTTTGTTTTGGTACAGCAATGGTTCTGGCTTTGAAGTTGATGTGCAGATTAATCCTCTGATTTTTTGGATTTTCTCTGAAAAGAAATCAGAAAACTTGTTACAGGCAACATTAGATTGGAGTTCAGGTGGAAACGTCACAGGAGGGTTTGTGAGCCTGTCAACTGTTGCAAATAAAGTTCGAGCATTATTGATGTTTTTCTTTATGACATCTGCAAAGAAAGCCTCCCTTCCATGTTTTAGTGTTAAGTGATAGTTACGTAGTTTTTCTTTGTAGATGTCGTGATGAACGTGAAGTTGAGTTTTACGCCATTGTCGTTCTGCCCTGCGGCAGACTTGTCTTGCAGACCGAACTATTTGTGCATTTCTCCATGGAGATTTCTTTCTACCAGTCAAAACCTTTACTTTAATTGGGGCAATGGAATCAATGATATATGAAACTTTAGACTGAAAATCATCTAACAACTGATCTACATCATTACAGCTTAAGGGTGAGGAGGAAGAGTAGATTTGATTAAATGTTTCTGCTGTGTTTTCTGTGAAAGAACGTTTTGTGACAGTATCTGTTTGTCCAAGTGGGTCAAAGAATAAAGAACCTTCAAAGATAACAGCGAAGTGATCCGACAGGGCGACATCAGTTACAGAGACATTGGAAATATTCACACCCTTACTGATAACCAGGTCCAGTGTGTGTCCTTGAGTGTGTGTTGCTTGTTTAATATGTTGTGTTAAACCAAAATTTTCTAAAATATCAGAGAGCTTTTTTGCTCCTCTGTTTTCGGGTTTGTCCACATGAATGTTGAAATCACCAACAATTATTAAACAATCATAATCAATGCATATGAGAGAAAGAAGATCATTCAAGTCAGTAAAGAAATTTTCCACATATGCTGGAGTTTTGTATAAAGTTAGTGTCAAAGTTCGTTTGAAGCCTTTAACCTGAATTCCAAGATACTCAAAAGATGTGAAATGACCGAAAGAGATTTTAATACAGTTTATGGTATTTTTAAATATAGAAGCCACGCCTCCTCCTTTTTTATGTTTTCTATTCTCACTTAAAAAATTGTAGTCAGGAGGCGCTGATTCAATGAGTACAATTTGGTCATTATCGTCATTCAACCATGTTTCTGTCAGAAACATAACATCAACATTATACTCAGTGATGAAATCATTAATTAACAGAGCTTTAGCACAGAGTGATCTGATATTTAAAAGAGCTATTTTAAGTGGCTTGGAGGCCAAAAGATTTTCAGTCTGAGGTTCCTTTAGGCAGGGGATCACTCTGAGGTTTGAATTAGGACCGCTGTATTTCATATTTCTATTTTTTGTAAATTTTCTTGTAGTGATCCGGACAGGTAATGTCCTGTTCTGCATTTCCAGGGGGCCAGATGCATTCTGGAGGAAGACGGGTGTAAAGATAATATCTGGTCCCCGGCCTCAGACCTCAGAAACGCAGAGTGATGGATCCTCTGGGAGGTCAGGGGCAGGTTGCTTAAATGTAGTGATGTCTGCTACGTGAGTGCTAAGGAGAGACGTGCCGAGGCGAACCTGTTGATTCATTCCATCTGTAAATTTAAGAAACTCTGGTCCGGAAGACATTTCTTCATTGGTATCCATTGAATCCTGTGAATGCTTGGAGGAGCAGAGAGGGAGGGGGGAAGGAGCGAGGGAAGCAGTCGCTCCGTCTCCAGTCGATTTATCAGCTTGTTTTGGAATATCGTGCTCCTGATCCGGGGAGCGTTCCATCCTGGTCAGACATCCTTGAGCCTGTTCTTCTGACGCGATGATCCTGTTGCTGTCCTTGTTGATAAAATAAAAAAGGTTTGCAGCGAGTAGCTTTATCCCATGTTTATTAAGATTGCGTCCTCTTCCAAAAAGGTGAAAGCGCTGCCAATAGATCCAGAGGTTATCGATGAAGGTCACTGAGCTGGTAGAGCAGGCTTTAATCAGCCATTTGTTGATCGTGAGCAGCCTGGAGTGTTTTTCGTCTCCCCATTGAGGTGATGGAATTGGACCACTGAGAAATAACTTCATTCTCAGTTTTCCCATAGTGTCCAGAAGAATGTTAAAGTCCTTTTTTAGAATCTCAGACTTTTGCTTTGCCAGATCGTTGGCTCCAACATGCACAACTAAAGTCTCAATATCTGGCTGATCAGTGGTTAGAGAGAGCAGTTTGTTGGTTAAATCAGATACAGTGTCACCAGGAAAATACATCACTCTTGTTTTCCTTGGATTGCAAACGTCACTGATTCCCTTTACTGCCTCATCTCCAACAACAAGCACTTTTGGGTTACCTTTAGTTTTCCTGGTGGTCGCTTTGTCCTTGGGAGCTTTGGGGGATGGATGTGTTGGTCTTGCCTCACTGTTGATGTTTGAAGGCGAAGTTTCACTCAGAGGCTCAGGCTGGAGTGCAGAAAATCTGTTTTTCAGTGGGATTCCCACAGAGTCAGAATGTTTTGAGGCTCTTGCTGGTTGCTTTGTCCGTGGGGTCGGTGGAGGCGTTTTAGTTGCAGCTGCTTGTTTGTCTTTCTTTGGCGGAGCAGGTGTTGAAGTTGAAGGTGGGTTTCGGCTCAGAGCCGGCCACGCTGATTCGTCCAGGTGCGGGGTTCTCCCTGATAATCGTCTCATCGGATCCGCAGTGCGAGACTCCCGTTTCGGCTTGGCACCCAGAGCGTTCCAGGGTGAGCTGCTCGGTGCAGGGCGCACGACCTCTCCGTTGATTTGAGGAAGAGTTGTTTCATTTCCACAAGTAGCGTTGATCTCAAAGTTCACCTCCAGTAGTTTAATCTTCATTTCTATAAACTGAAGTCGTTGTAAAATACTGCTCATGTCCTTGGGGTCAGCCAGAGGCATTTTGCCCTGGTTTAACTTGGAGGTAAAGAAAAGTAAGGTGAAAATAAAAGTAAGAAAATCCCCCAGTCCTTAGGTTTGGAAAAATCCAGTTAAGATGTCAATAATGTAAATATAACTATAAAAACTGTCGCCTTAAAATTAAAAAATAATTCACAGGCAGAGTTATCAGTAAGGACGAGAGAGAGCAGGATAAGCTGTTCCTCCTTCGGCAGTCAGCCGAAAATATGCAACTCTGTGTGAAAATTACTACTTAATAATTACTCAGACAAAAGGACAAGTGAGTTACTTTTGATTGGTTTTGTGCGATCAGACACTTTTTCACAAAAATCAGCCAATTATGATTGGTGGCCGATTGATCGGCACGCCTTTAATTTCACACTGTACATGCTGAGAAATTATCTCAATTTATTGGCTGGGTAAATGGGGTCAATTTGATCCCAGGAGCTGTACGCAGTCTAGCGGGGTGGCATTGATCACGCGTGTGCTTTTAAGAGGTTTTTGAAAAATATGTATGTGGTTCAGTCTGACAGGACGTGCTGCCTGGGAGGCAGGACAGATATTGCTCTGTCCTGTCGCTGAAACTGGAAGTTGTTATAATCACAATGTTCTTAACCACACATTTTGCTTTTGTTTTAAAAAACTATTTTTTTCCTCCTAAAAAAAATGAAACAACCACAGGTTTTGTTGTTTTTATCTCTGTCTCAGAGCATAAACCATTTAAATTTTATAACCTACTAGAGTGAGTCTAAACAATTGAGAAGTTCCAGCTAAAGGTTTCTGATGCAGGAATATAATTCGAATAATAATTGAAGTGGACATCTCCATTTTTACGGTTCATATTTACAGTGAACTTTTACCTGGAAGTGGCTTTCTTTAAAAATCCCGTTTTGTTTCTTTTTGGGAGTTTAAGAATGAAAGGAAGTGAAAGTTCTTTGTAGTATAAGAGAACCATGCTTTTACCGAGGTGCGTTTTCCCCTGCCAAGTTGATTCAAATTTTGGTTTAAGAAAAAAAATCCTGAAACATACAGAATCACTATAATCGTGATCCTATCCTCTCCTCTCCGTCCATCCCGAACGCGTCTCCTGCTTCCTCTCGCATTTCTGTCGGATGAACTCTGGAGGAAGTAACTGCTCGTCCGTCTCCCCTGCAGGAAGGTCTCAGCGCAGCGTGGGTGCCCAGGGATCCACTGCCTGAGTGTGGCGACAGCGGCGGCCGAGACCCCAGAGACATGAACCACACCAAGGGCGGCTTGGTGATCTTCACCGCCAACTCGCACTCGTCGAGCCGCGAGCTGGGCAAGAGGATTGCCGAGTGAGTATAGGAGGGTCCGCTGACATTGCCGTCGCTCTGCAGCACTCCGTTAGCTCAGTGTGAACAGACGGCAGGAGTTCCTCACGACTCAGCCTGGTTTTATCTGCTACGCAGAAGGTGAAAGTGTTGGTCAAACTTCTCGTGCTGATGTGAAACAGGAAGAGAGAGCAGAAAATGGTTGGATGTTTCACATCTCTGTGTGACGCTAACTTTAAGATCTGCTTAAATTTAAGCACGTCTTATGTGCGGAGGAAAGCTGGTGTTGCTTTGATAAGTTTTCATTTGTCCAGGAGGAATGCAACAAACAATAATTTTAGGTCAGATCTTCCAAGTCTCACCGAAACGTGTCGTTGAGCTTCTGGATAGTTATTTGTCTTGGACACTGATGGTCACGTTTGTAAATGTGACATTTCACATATCGGCCTGTCATTTTTAACCCAGAACCTGGATTAGGGACAGACTTTAAAAATGTCAAAATGTAAACACAGCAGAGAAATAAACCACTGCAGCAGCGTCACAGAGTTAAAGGAAAATCAATCAGAACCAGTTGGAATCGCCTTTCTTCCCATTTGTTTGGCAACACGTCAGGTTACCAACTTTGAGCTTATTTTATGTGTGAATAAAATCTAAACAGTGCAGATCCCTCTTTGCAGACTGAAGCTACAACCTTTGACTATATAAAGTTAAGTTTAGAGGAAATGAACAGCTTGGCTCGCTCTGCTGGCGCTAAACGGCAGCACTTGAATTCAGCATGTTCACAAACCGAAAGCATCTCCTCTGATAAATGTCACTTTCTTTTTTTTTTCTTGTCTGAAATTTTTTTCTTAACCTTTTTTTCAGTGCTTTGAAAACGTGTATTTGCTAAAGATATCTAGTCATGGACTATTATTTGTGTTCGACTAAAGTCAACATGGTGTATGATTGTGAAGCCGCAGAAGTTCTTAACTTTTCAGATTTCTGTTTGTGAAATTATTAAAATGATGTCACCTGTTCCTTCTACTTCTGTTCAGCCTATGTGCTTTATGTGTCCATGACATAAAATGCATTGAAATCTTATTTTTTAATTGTTTTAGTCTTTGTTTGAAGTTATGATGGTTGGTGTAAATTGTGGAGCAGTTTAGTCAACTGCTGCCGTTTTAAATGTGCTATGCTGGTAGATTTGACCTTCTGATATCATTTGGTCTCATTTTTGTTTGGTTTCCTCTCCTCCATCCAGGCGGTTAGGAGTGGAGCTGGGAAAGGTTCAGGTGTACCAGGAAGCAAACAGAGGTGAGGTGATGACCTAGAGGAAGTACCTTCTCCATAACTGTTTACTATAAGACCAGTGGCACCAAAGATATATGAATATGTGTTGTCAAACTGTTCTACGCAATATGTTTGGGAAAATGATCTGTGGGTTTTTGTAGATGTTGTTTTTGAGGTCGTCATAGCAGCCAGTAAAAAAAAGCACAATGTTTTAAAAACGCATACTGTAGCTTTTTATGTATTATTTCTTTTATTTTGTCACATTACAATCACAAGCTAAAATGTGACAAATATGAAGTAGCACTTATGATGTAATAGAGAAATAATTTTCAAAATCTGCTACATCAGCATTAATATTTAGTTTGTATTGAAGCTTAATAATGAAATAGTCATTAAATTGTAAGGATGTTTAAAACTCAAAATTAATTGTCCATTGAACCTCAGCAGCCACCTGGGCTGATGGTGTGTGTGTGTGTGTGTGTGTGTGTGTGTGTGTGTGTGTGTGTGTGTGTGTGTGTGTGTACAGGTATTGATTATTTTAATTATCGATTGTTCTGCTACAGTTGAGGCACCGTGTTCCAAAATTAAGGAGTGACAAAATAAATGTTTTTTTTATTTTTATCAGTAACTACATAAATTATATGTTAATAAAATATGTTTTGCTCAAATAAAATAGATTTAGTAATCAATAAAAGAATGTTTCTGTGAGGTCTTCTGGTTTATTTTACATAAATTAAACAAGTGAACTAAGTTACAACACCTCACACGTTTTTGATAAATGAGTATTGCTCTTTTTGTAGATCAAAACTTCGCCGTAGCATTTCGATTTAACCGTCTACTGCGTCAAAACAAATTCGAAAATCACTAAACTCAAAATTAAGGGACCATGCAGGATTTTCTTTGGACAGTTTTGTCCAAATTTTCTTCCCTTCGGAAGCCTGGCGATCAGCCGATACACAAAAAGCCAATCTTGATTTGTTTCTCCTGCGCAACACAAATTTAAAAGACCTCCAGGAATTTATTCCAGTTCTGTGATGGTTGTTTTCTACTTCCGCTCTGGTTGTGAAGAGCTGGTTCTGTTTGCCTCTCAGGATAACACATTGACTTGCTGGTTGCTGATTCTTAAACTTTGAAACCTTTCCAAACACTTCCAGAGGTTTTATTTTAGCACAGCTGATGCAAGTCGAAGCAAATCAAAACTTGATTTAATTGAAGCCACTCTGGTGAGGCCGCAGTGCAGTACACGTTTCCGTAAAACAGAAATGCCGATTTGAAGTTCATTTGAAGTGAACTGCAGCTGCTAGTTCACTTCGTCGGACCTGATAACAGTTTAGTTTTTGCTCCCACTGGGAGGATTCTGCCTCTAATCCCTGGTTTAGTTCTGGAATGCTGGTATGTCCAGTTTTCCACAGCAGTGTGGTAGGCAGATAGGAGACGGGGGGAAAGCAAACTTCACAGGCTTTGTTATGAGATAACAGGGCGTGTTTGTGCAGCTGACTGTATTTTTCTTTTTTCCCCGCATCTTGTCCATGTTTCTGTAGAAACGCGGGTACAGATCCAGGAATCGGTGCGAGGCAAAGATGTCTTCATCATCCAGACTGTGTCAAAGTAAGAACCAGAGCACACATAACCTCAGAAAGCATTTACATCCCGCATTTCCAAAGACCATTTAATTGTGTAAGTTTACATTTAGAAAATAAGTTGGCTTAGTGGGAACAAGCTGATTTTAACACGAAGAAGACAACAGGAAATAGTTGAAGGATGTTGGAGCACCATGTTGTTGTTTTTGTTTTTAGTGACTACCTGTAATTTGAATTACATTTCTTATTTAATGGAAAAATAGCAATCACAAAACTGTCTTCTCAACCTTAGCTGAATATCAAAAAAGTTTTTGTGATGTAAATGCAGTCAGTGAGTGAAGAATGCCAAGAAAAAGATCCAAGTGAATTGTTTGCTGACTCATAAATACATTTTTCCCGTGTCATAAGTGAAACAATCTGTTGAACTAGAAATGTTGTCAATATTAAGAATTTATTTACTCAAAACAAGCATCTGCATCTGGCTGAAAACTTACTTGGAAGTCAGTTGTATCAGTCCGATCCGGACTGCAGTTCAGTCCAGATCGGCACTGTGTAATGGAGGGCTATGGGTTGTTCGTTTGGCCACAGTGATGTCACACATGACTCCGCCTCCTTCAAGAGCTTCAGAGGGAAATGCATTTTTTTTTTTTCTAGAAAATGACATTGTTTTACTTGTTTGTTCTTTTTCTCTGCATCAGGGACGTCAACACCACCATCATGGAGATGCTGATCATGGTGTACGCCTGCAGGACGTCGTGCGCGCGCAGCATCACCGGCGTCCTGCCCTACTTCCCCTACAGCAAGCAGTGCAAGATGAGGAAGAGGGGCTCCATCGTCTCCAAGCTCATCGCCTCCATGGTGTGTAAAGCCGGTAAGTATGAGAAGGCTGGACTCTCACACACTGTCATTTATTTATTCAATATTCAGAATTAATTGTGTACATTGGTGAACATGGGCGTGTGTGTACAGGCCTCACCCATCTGATCACTATGGACCTCCATCAGAAGGAGATTCAGGGCTTCTTCAACATTCCAGTGGACAATCTGAGAGCGTCTCCGTTTCTGCTTCAGTACATCCAAGAGGAGGTAAAAAAAAGAAAAAAGAAAAAGGTCCTAAATTTTTGTATCTGAAATGAAGGCCTTAAAATCTCTTAAATTAATTTTTTAAAAAGCAAGGTGGTCTTAAATATGTTACTCACAGGTCTTAAATTTTGTCTTGGCAGGATTAACCTTGTATAGTCTATGTATTTAGTTTTTTCTCACAAGACTTTTCTGTCAGGCAAAATGTTGAATTACGCAGGCATCTTCGTTGTGTTATTTGATTCACTGCTAGCATATTTTGTTAACTAGCTTTTTATACGTCTACTATGGTGGTGTTCAGATTTAGCGCCTGTTTGTTGGACGTTTGTATATATTTTTTGGAGATCTAGATCTTAAATTCCATTAATAATGGTCTCATTTTATATTATACATATATATTTTTTACATTCAAACCCTCAGATCCCCGACTACAGAAATGCTGTAATTGTTGCGAAATCTCCGGCCTCTGCTAAAAGGTACAGTACGTTCTCCTTCATCTGCTGGTTAGAGTAGAGCTCTGGTTGTCTCTCTTTGTTTTACTGTGACTTTACAGACAAGAGTTGCAATGTCTCTCAAAAGTTTTCACTTTATTTCATGGTAGCCACTTTCCCCCAGAGGCCAGATTGTGGAATGGACGACTCACTAATCGCCATTGTTCCCTAACAAACTTCTACAGCCTTCTACATTTAGAAAACACAATTTTTTTCCCACTTCACATCATTTTGCTAAATCTGTTAAAAACATTGTCTATAGTTTGAATTTGATAAACGTTGAAATGTCTCCAGTGGTAGAAGAAACTTTGTAACTGCGTAGACAGCCTCTAAATGGAGGACGTTGTGTTGCTAAGCAGCCTGTGGCTGGTTTGTCCTCTGCCCGGGGTTCAGGGCTCAGTCGTTCGCCGAGCGGCTGCGTCTCGGCATCGCGGTGATCCACGGAGAAGCTCAGGACGCCGAGTCGGACCAGGTGGACGGACGCCACTCTCCCCCCACCGTCAAAACCACCGGAGCCATTCACCCAAGCATGGAGATACCATGTAAAGTGCCAATTCTAACCCCAACATCTCCATTGTTTAACCCTGCAGTATTTATCATAGACATTGATTTGTGTCTGCAGTGCTGATCCCTAAAGAAAAGCCTCCAATCACAGTGGTGGGAGACGTAGGGGGACGCATCGCCATCATAGTGGTGAGATGGGCGATGATCGTTCGCGCCAGACTTGCCTCGATTTAAATTTTGAGCCACTTGCGTTGACGAGCTTGTTCCGCAGGATGACATCATCGATGACGTCGACAGCTTTGTGGCGGCGGCAGAGACGCTGAAGGAGAGAGGCGCCTACAAGATTTTTGTCATGGCGACACACGGGCTCCTCTCCTCGGACGCCCCGAGGTTCATAGAAGAGTCTGCCATTGACGAGGTCAGAGCTTCTACCTTCATGCGTCTTTTTGTTGCTGTAATGTCCTTCTTCACAGTTTCCTCCTCCGTCCTTCAGGTGGTGGTGACCAACACCATCCCCCACGAGCTACAGAAGCTCCAGTGCCCAAAGATCAAAACGGTAGACATCAGCATGATTCTGTCGGAGGCCATCCGCCGCATCCACAACGGAGAGTCCATGTCTTATCTGTTCCGCAACATCGGTGTGGACGACTGAGCCGCGCCGAGTCACACTTTTTACCGTGACTTTCTATCCCTGTGGGAACGATCCTTTCCCTCTCGCACTAACACAGCTTCAGAGCCAGAGGTTAATCTATTGGTTGATTTGAGGTCAGGTTCGTGTTTGTGCTGGAATACAAAACAAAATCCACTCGTTATGCTATATTTATGTTTGCTCCTAGCCCATAATCCTGCACAACCTAATTCTAACAGCGACCTTCAAGGTCTTTCTCTGATGACACAAACTGACGAATCCAGTTTACAAACTACCCCAACTGACACACATCTGCTCTTCCTTAAACTAGTCACACCCCTTGAGTTTTTCACATTTTGTCTTTTTACAATCACAAACATCAGTGTGTTTTATTGGGATTTTGATTGATAGACCTACTAATTAAAGAAAAATTTTATACATTTTGATACTTTCTATCCCCACCACGTGATGCTTCTGCTGCTACATTTCACTGTGTGGATGATGTGTTCAGGGTAATGTGTCACGTTCTGGTATGTCAGGACTGCTTTTGGCATTTTTCACTTTAAAGTCCACGATCTACATGTCTTTTTTCCCCTCTCCTTATGGGAATAATCTGGACTTGCAGTGAAAAATTGAAGTGTACCTACTAATATTTAATAGAGTGGAACAAATAAATTGGCCCCAATTTCTTTAATTCTTTAATTTTAGGTGATACCTACCACCACAAAGATCTGAAAACCAGCCACTGTCTCCTTTATAGCCACCCCACCTTTACCAACTTAGCAACTTTGTTGCTATATTTAGCAACTTTTCAAATTCATTATCATTCAGAAAATTGCCATCAGTGCACCCCTAAATGTTAGACCTCCGATCTACATGAGATCATCAAAGATGCATTCCAGAGGTTTGCTGCATCTCCAGGATTGTGAAACGATTTTTTTTGTGGGCCCACTGTTAAAGCTACAAACTCTCACAGCACACAGAAAAAAAAAACTTTTCTGCTGAAGTTTGAGGTTATAATTTGACAGAATGTGGAAAAGCTTACTCAGTGATCAGTCTTTAATATATCTATAGACTACTGTCTAAACATTTCATTATCTTCCTTACATGCCTTCTACATTATTTTTCACTCTAAAAACTAATTGCTGTCAGATTTTTTGCAACGAATGTCTCCCGTTTAGATCAGTTAGAGGTTGTACTGAGAGGCTCGGTGCCTTCTGCAGGGGTTTGAACACAAGCTTTCGCGGCTTCGCTGCATTTCTGTTAATGTCACTGATTGCTTATTGAAACTTCTGGATTATGCAGGTTGAAGCTAATTAACCTATGCTGAGTATTTTTCAATATAATTGTCTTTTTTTTATTATTATTATTTTATTTTCAAGTTTATTGATAGTTTACCTCCCAGCTAGCCATATATGTGTAGTTGCCATAGAGTTAGATTATGATGTGTCAAATGTTTGTATTTTTTTTATTTTTATTTAACTGGAATGAATTGAAACGTTTTCAAAATTCTAACTGGAAATCAGATTTAATCACCCGTGTAATGTTTTTTATTCATAACTCATATGAATCATTGTGCCATCATTACAGCGCTTCCATTTAATGTTGGGTTCTGCCATAAGTGAGCAACTTTTGTTGGTGAATCTGAGAAACTTTGTTGTCTTTTAAATTTGTTTTATTGTCATTTTTAGATTTGAAGGCGAGAATAAAATAATGTTACATATGATGGTTGGAAGGTTTTTAATGATGATGAAATGGGTAAATACTTGATCCTTGGATCTGTGTGGAGGAGATGAGTTTAGTTTGTTGTAATAGGAAATGTTCCAAACTGGAGCTGGAACTGATAAACGGGCTTTTTTTTTTTTTTTTTTTTTTCTGACACACAAAGCTTGACTGAAGCAGGTCTTTGTTACCTTGCCCGATATTACAGAAGAAAAAAAGTTGTTTTTATATTTATTTTCTGCACCAAAAAATGAATAAACATGTTCTAAAAAGAAAGCACGTGGTTTTGTGTCGGCCGGAAAAACCCGCGAAAGCAGCTTCTTTTTCTTCAGTTTATTGTTTTCAATGCAGACATGAGCAATGGGCGGACAGTGGGATAATGGCTGACAGCATCAGGTAAAACACATGTAAAGGCTTCATAGAGGCAAAAGCAGCATGTTAACTAATACGTCATTAAAAGGCAAACTGATCACTTTCTGTGTTTAGACAGCAAACCCAAAGTGACCACGGTTTTGGTGATGCAACAGCTATTGTACAGCTCACATTAGTTCAAAATAGAGATGAAACTGTAATAAAAACACTGATAGAACTCAAGTGTGTTGCTTATGGCTGAGTTTTTTTTCGTTCTTTTAAAAACAAAAAGTCTTCCAAACAAGCTTGCTCCCGTCCAGTTCGACTGATGTTTCAACATACTGCATGTTTGTCAACAAATACTTGGTGTAAATAGTTATAAAATCTGAATCGTACGGTGTGGAGTTCTTAACAAAAATGTTTTTGAACAAAAATATGAAGCTCACTGTCCCGTTTCTTCTAAATTTGGCCAAATGTTCATCGCTTAATCATGACACCTACAGTCTGAGCATTCAAATACTAATAAAACCTGCACTGATGGATATAATGTAAACATGTGTATTTGATATTTGTATTGTAAAATTCTCCTTTATGACATATTTATGACATCCAGACTTTTCTTTTTTCTGGATGCAAAACAAAAAGAAACAACACATTTAATTAATTTCTAACCAAAACAGAATGGGCCCAGTTCAATTTCTTACTGTCCTAACAGCAATGTGTCCTAATCAGAGCTTGCCAGCAAGCTGTACTGTCTCAATAAACACATTCATGAATGAATTCAAACAAATAAGAGACAAAAAAAAAAAAAAACAACCTGCTGCTCTCAGTGACAACAGCAACTTAATCTACCGCTTCTATACTGTCCTAAAGCACCGTTTAGACCATCCACACAAATAACTAATCTCCAGTGGATACCTTTGATATATGAACAGTTAAATATATTGTTGTAAAAACATACAGAATACTGTAACAGCAGTGTGACGAGGCCGATTGGTCTATTCTCGGCATCTAAAAAGCAAAGTGACTTTAAGCAGCTACTTTCCACTACAAGATTTTAAAAACTCCTAGCGCCTTTTAGCATCTACCAGACCAAACACTGTGATTTGTTTTTGAGCAACCATGACAATAAGTTTGGTACGCCATCAAAATGCCCCTATAACATCTTGCTTCCCTATTTCAAGCAGCTGTCACTGACTCAAACTCTGGAGGCTGAATACTGGCACAGGGAGTGACTTATTTTTGGCCAACGTTTGTTTTTCCATGCACAGAATTTTCTGGATAATAAATTTGGTGCTTTTATCGTGTCAAAGTGTCCCCACACTAATGTGACCCAGAAGTTAAACCACTATGCCCTCTTAGCTTAATTTCTAAATGAAGCTTTAGAGTTAAGTTAAACTTCAGCTAGGTTTTACTAGCTAACGGTTTACAGGTACTGATATGAATTCAAATTTAAATAAAATGTATAATATTCAGATGTCCATTAGCATAAATTTTTACCAACTAGTGGTCAAGGCCAATTAGTGTTTCAAATGTGAACGTTAAAAAAAATCCTGTTACCATAACAGGATTTTATAACAGGAGCTACTAGCTACTTTTTAGCTAGTAGCCTATTTTTACTAGCTAAATAATGACACGCATTCAAAAAGTGATTTTTAAGTGCCCATTTACACAATAAGGTTTTGCTAGCTGATGACTTATAACATATACTAAATTAAATGTGATGGTAAAGTAACTGTTAGATGTTATTTTTGTGAGAGCCACAGTTTGTACTTGTTACCCTTACAAAAAGTTCATCAGAACGAAATCATTCGCAACTAGCATGTTTGTCTCATAGCAACCTACAGGCTAGCTAAGTCCAGTTACATGCAGCAAATCAACATGGCATGCTAAAGTACAAGCTTTTACAAAATTGTTCTGTAAATCGATTCACCTTTTTGGGTGTACATTTTTGGAGGTACAACTTCAAACCAATTTCGAACTGTTTTTCCACACCGAAAGTTCAAACACTGAAATTTCTGTTACAGTATATTCAAGTCTGTTTTCAAAAATTGTAATGAACCTGACATTTTTAACACTGTTACCAAAAATAAAATGTAAATGAAATACTAAGCTTTTCAAATAGAATAGCGTAAATTTTCAGAGTGGGCTTTGTTGAGGGGATATCAGCAGTCATCTTAACTTCTTGAGGTAATTTACATAATAAGTCAATAATTATTTTCAACAAGCAAACGCTAATTTGGATTCATCAGAATATAACACGTGAAAAACAAAGAAAATATTCTCAGGTGTCTCTGAAAAGAACACCTGAGTTCTTTTCAGTTTAAACATATGTTTTTAAAAAAATCAATAAGATATTTTTGCAGTACAGTTTCGTGGATGAACTTATTGTAACACATTCCGTTTAGCAATGAGCAAGTCACCTGGGTTGAGATACCCAGAATGCCCTGTAAATAACTGAAGATTTATTTTTTGAATTAGCAAACCCACAAAAATAACTTTCCAATGAACAACTTTAACATTTCTAAGATGGAAATTGTTTTATTTTAGTAGACATTTGCTTTGCTTTTGGGTTATCGTTTGCTAACTCAGCTTCCTCTTTCATCAAAGTCAATAAGCTGAAAGAATAATCTACTGCAGGTAAGATATTGAACACCCAAAACCAAACTAAAGTCAGTGAGGGACCAGCTACTATGTGGGCTCATAATGGGCTTTTTCTCATATCAGACTTATTTGGGTTATTGGTATTTGATCGTTTTTGGACAAGGGTTTTTTAAAACCTGTTTAACACAAAGTATCAAATAAACATGTTGTAATTAGTTCTGAAAATATCAAGACCTATTTATTGCTGTATTTTGCTCACATGGATTTTTGTCATAACATCAAATAAAGACCAAAGATAATCTACAGTTCCCCTAGCAGAACACTGGCATTTTCATTTTTCTTTCGAGAATCAGAATAACTTTATAACTTTAAAAAACTAGATTAAAGCAGCTTTGTAGAAGTCAGTAAAAACAGTCCAGGAGAATATTGTCCAACAACTTTGTGGATTTTGTTTCGTTCAAACCACAAAAGCTTGATGCTGTAACAGGGATTTGAACACTTAATGTCGAACCAATCATTTGTTCTTAAAACAATTGTTAGACTCTGAAATGTTTGGAGCAACTTAAATCCAAACATGGGAGAAAATATCCCCAGCAATGCGCCACGCAACAGTCTGAAGCTGCGTTTCCACTGACCGTAAAATTGCGCAAATCGGGAGTAGCGAAATGAAAACTGCAATTTCGGAAAGTAGAAAAAAAATTTAACTTTTGCGCTAGGATGAGGTGGTTTTTCAGCTTGATGGTGAAAACACTTTTTCTCCGCATCACATGAAACACGTGATCAATATCCGGATGTTACTCCTGGCGGAAAAGACGAAGAAGTAAACAGGAAGTTGTTTTTTTTAACAAATTACCATGGGAACAAACTTATTGACACGTAATTGCTTGCCGACCCCAATTAAGAAGACGAACCAGTGATTTTAATTGCGTTTCTTATTTAATAGAAACACTTTAAGAAATTGTTTAACATTGATGGAACAATGTCAATCAAGTTTTATGCGCATTTGTACTGGAATCGCAGCTTCAGAATGTCACCATGCTTGGCTTTCGGAGACCCCAGATGAAAAAAACAACAAAAAAAACCCCACATCCTACGAAAATGAGCTTCGAGCTGAAGGTTCGGCTCGCCTGTAAAGCCCACAGACATCGCAGCGCGCAACATGAGAAGCTCGACCCGCACGGAATAGAACGCTCACACCCTGTTTGCCACTGATGTTGATAGAAAAAGAGATGAAATGGAGGAGCATGAAGCATCATTCACCCATGACACTGCCTCGTTCTGATCTACCAGATCCAACCACCCTGCCTAAGCTAGTGAAAAGCTTTTAAATAAACGGGTAGAGAGTATATACACCGCCGCCATTCAGACCTTATGGTAGACACCGTCAGCTGAAGGAGGGAAACCACAGACATGGGTTTCCAAGGCTCTCTGCAGTTTCACAGGCTTGGATGAGAAACGTGTCTTTCAGTATTTTTTTGTGTGTTTTTTTAAATTATTTTTTTAATTGTATTTATTACTTAACTACCGGCGTTCTGTTGGCTTCTTCCTTTTAAACATTGTGTTCCCTATGTGGATTCCTTGTCTGGTCATCGGCCAGTCCCACCGCTCTTCGTCTCAGTAGTCGTTGAGTCCATTGATCGACGCCAACGAACAGAAGAACAACTAGTCCTCTTCGCGAAGAAAAAAAAAAAAGAAAGAAAAAAAAAGAAGCAAACTTGTGGTTCGCTGAGTTTAAAAAGCAACAATCATTTGTCCTTTGCTCTGGTTTGTTCTGCATCCATGCCCACCGTCTATAAAGCACTTTGTGACGAGCCTGGGTATTAAAAGCGCTTCCCCTCCCCCCCTGTTTTTGTTTTAAACAAAGTCAGTCGAATCATAATTAGAACCTGGAAAGATACCGTTGATGACGAGAGAAAAAAAAAATCCACAGACGGGGTACAAGTCAAGTGATTGTTATAGTCAGTTCATTGCCAAGCTGGTTGACAGGAAGACACACAAGAGGAGGACTCCGGTTCTTAGGGTTGGTGCACTGTGAGAGGGAATGAGGGTCGCGTCCTCCTCTGCTTCTCTTTTACGATTGCCGCTTTTAGTTTTGTTGATAGGTCTGTTGTACACCAGATGGGTAGTTGGGATTTAATATGGCCCTGGTCTGAAGGAAGGCTGAGCACCCCCTCTTCTGGTCACAGATAGGAGGTAGGACTTAGCAGCAGCTTAGGGTGGTGAAGGACTCTTCAAGGCATCCACTTTGGTCTCCAGTTCTGTAATCTGTGGGGGGGAAGAAAAGAAAAAAAAACACAATATAAGGTTCATTCATTTGTAGTCAAATGAGTACATTACCCTAACAAGGTTTTATATTCGATTTGTACGGCATGTTTGCTTATAAAAACCAAAATAATGCAACAACAAATATAACAAAAAGAAGGAAAAGATTTCTCCTAAGCACAACTCTGAAAAATGTGAAATACCCAATAATTTGTTCTTGAACTGAAGGATGTTGTCCTTGGTTGTGCTCCTCATTGGGTAACAATCCACTCATATACTAATCACTGATATCTATAACTTTGGTTCCTATAAGCAAATTATTAAGTCAAGTCAATCAATTTCACTAAAGATAAACGCACGGATGAGTTTCTCTAGATCTTGCTGGGATATTAGTCCTTGAATCCTGGAAATGTTCTGCAGGTGATCAAAGGCTGTCTTGTGTCTTTATGTGGCTCTGAAGGTTCAGGTCAGAGTTCATCACTACACCCAGATTTTATGCCTGATTTCTAGTTTCCAGCTGAATCTGTGCGTTGTCTCTTGATCATTCCTCTCTGTGGCTCCAAAGACGGTGACTTCAGTTTAGTTTCTGTTCAGCTGAAGAAAGTCCCCGGCGTCTGTTTGGTGCCTGGATGGGTTCATAGTCACCGGTGAAAAGTCATCAATAAGGTTTTTGGTCCCTGACTTTTTGAATGCAAAATAATCTATCAATCGTGACCCAGTTTGGTGATCTATTGACGACACACTGTTGTCTTGAATATTTATTACAAGGAAACAGTAATTCTCACATGTGTAGCATAAAACTAAATGACTTGTTTAGCTACTGGTCTTTGTCATAATTGTGTCAAGGCTTGTGTAAGATTTAGTGATGTAAAATAACTACCCTGTGAAAAGTGGGCAGAGGAGATGGACATGCCTGTTCAGTAACCATGGTAACCTCCAATGGAGCAGAGAGCCTGGCTGTTTGTGATATGAGTGTGCTTTATCTATAGAGATGCTTCAGTCTATGTATCAAACCAAAAACAATAAAGAAATATCAATGATTAGAACTAATAATTAATATGCTCAGTATTTTTTTTTGCTGTAATCAGAGTAAAAAGTTGTAATAATGTAGTAAAATCATGAGCCAGACCCTTTTGTTGCCTGTTACATCCAGTGATGGTTTTCTGATCTGGCTAACGTGGGCAGTCACCCAGGGCGCTATCCGGAAAGGAGAATCGCGGCTAGCGGCTAGCATCGCTGCATCCGTGGAGGGAATGGAAGTCGGCGTGACAAACGCGAGCGGGTCACCGACCTTTTCCTGAAGGTTGTCTGTTTCTTCTTTGTGTGTCGCCTCGCTCTCCTCTTGTGCGCACCGCTGAGCGGTCTCCTTCTTCAGGTACTCCACCTCCCTACAAATCACAAACCATGTTGAACTCTACGCTCATTTTTAACTGGATGCTAATTTATTAATTAGCATCCAGACTTCCAGATCAGGTACTCCACTCTGTTTTATTTACTGCTCTTACTTTTGTTGGTATTCTTTAATCATCCTCTTGGCTTTGTTGTATTTCCTCTCTAGGGTTTGGTACTGGGCCTGGGTTTCTTTCAGGTGTTCATCCACAGCCTAAAAACACACGCTTAGTGTTTAAATGGCCAGGAACCAGCTTTTACTGGACAAGGGAGCTCTCATTGTTATTGTCTTTTTCTTTTTTTTTCATTTATTCTCTATGAAATTACCTTACACAGGGATTGTGCCTCCATCCAGTAGCCCTCGAGCTTCTCCATCCTCTCCTTGCTGTCTCTGATGTTTTGCTCCAACTGAGCGCGCTCCATCCGCCAACGCAGCTTATCCTGCTCCGCATGAGCCAGCTGGAGGTGAGGGGGTGTCGTGGTGGGAGGGAGGTGGTGCGTGGATGGGAGAGCCGGCGTTAAGTCATTGTTGAGAACAGTCAGAGATGTGTTTTCTCTTCTGTATCATACGTTTTTTGGGGGTTTTTTTGCAACTCATCCTGCGGAAACGAACTGAAAGCAAAGTGGGCTCACCTTCCTCTTTAACAGCTGGATCTCTGCCTGCGTCACCGCATGTTTAATCTGGAGCTGCACCAACAGAAAAGATAGCAGGACGTCTGGTTTCAGCTCAGGCCGTGTAACAAACCCAACGAAGAAACGTTTGTCTGAGCAAAGCGAAGACGTGAATCGTCAGCAAACCTGCCGAAAAACCAAACGCACCTCCTTGAACTTGTGGGCGAGCTTCTCGGGATCGAGCTCAACGGGAGACAACGTGTCCTGGTTCTCCGCCAGGTCGAAAACTTCGATGGAGTTCGGAAACATGGGGCTCATCTCCTCCTCCTCATCTGTAGCGTATTCGCCAGTCTGTCCACAGACGGAAGGCAGATAAAATACATTTAGGAGCATAAAATGAGAGAATAGAGAAGGAAACTGCTGTCTTGCAAGTGTTACGGGCTTAAACTCTGTCACGTTTGACTCTGATTTGAGGACATTAATCACAATGTGGCAGCGCCTCAGTTAAAAGTAGGAACAGCAGGTTGGTTTGCTGGTTGCTTTTCTCACTATTAGCAATAAAAGCCATCAAACGACATATTCAAGCACTTGTGTGAAATTTAACAGTATATCGTTTGATTAATAAAATTCCATTATCTCAACATCACTATTGGACACACATGACAGCCATATTGGATTTAGGTGAGAAACCGTTCGCTTTTCAAGTTGACTAATTGCAACAAATTCAAGAATTTTTTCGTGAACAAAAAAAATTCCATTGTTGAAAGGAAGTTCTATGTAGTTTGAACAACAAAAAATGTAATTATGCTGTATATTGAAGGTGAATATTCAAGATAAAGACTAAATGCAGCCAGAGCCTTTAATCCAAATGATTAATGGCAATCTCCTGACCATTTATCTTGGTTATTTTTCTGCTCTACATCACAAAGTAAATTAGCCTTACATTAACAGGCAGTATTGAACAAACTAACTGAATTGCAATCAGGTTATAGAGCCATGATGTTTTCGTCATAATGGATTTTCAGCTCTGCTTCTGCATTCTGACACAGAGACGGCCTTGATATCAGCATGTAGACCGCAGCAAGACAGCAAGACGTAACTTCTGTTTCACACCAAGAATCAATGTCTTTTTGTTTGCTATGTGACTGTGTAAAGAAGCTAACTATGTACCCAGCTGTTATTAGGAATTATAATGTATTTATAGCAAAAATGGCAAAGAAAAAAGCCCTACCTTAGTTTTTTTTTTCTGTTTGTATTTTCTGTGAAAACAAATAAATTTATATGGAATTTAACAGCATTTAATTATGGCCAATTTGTGGGAAAACTTAAACTGCATAAGACCCTGAACGCATCGTTCGCACAGTTTCTGTCACAAAAACTATACTTGTGTCTGACAGTAGCCCAAATTAATAAGTAAAAACTACAACAATAAACAGATGTAAATACGCAAAATGGATATTTTTTACACTGTGTTCCCCAAAAAATATCAGCAGGTGCAAAAGCAGTCCTTGACACGCTTTCAAAAATCCACTTCATTTCCTTTCGCTGTCCAATTCACAGCTGAGTTATGCAGGAATTACGTGCAGATGGAGCTTTCAAACACATTTTTAATAGTTAACTGTCATTTTTGTGGCATCAAATAGCAAAGGCAATTTATATGCCTAATCAAAAAGCTTCTGTTCCCTTTTCTGACCACAAGGTGGAGAAGTTAGACTGAGGAAGGACAGGCCATGTGGCTGCACACAGACGACATTTTGTCTCGGCACAAACACACGCTGAAAGGGCACTTTTGATTTGGCCGCACGCAGCACAGCTGACGACGCGCTCTGCGTTTTTGTTCTTTGGAACCACAGACAGAAAAACACCTGGACAAATGATCTAAGCTGCGCTTTTCTTATTTCCAACGAACGCTCTGACGTGCTGCCCGTCTCCCCCCGAGCCCCCACCTCTTCGTCGTCGTCCATGTACTGTTTGTATCTCTGCTCCATCATCTCTCTCTGCCATCTCTCCTGCTCCAGAGTCTGCTGGATCAGCTGAGCCACTTCGCTTTGCTCCCCCGGCTTTTCCCTGCCAATAACAAACCTGAAGAAAAAGAAAAAAAAAAGAACATTTAACCCACACATTTGAGGCGTGAAACTCCTTTATCGGCTTCAAAAATGAGAAACACGAGTTCGCAGGAAGCAAACGCCACTGACTTGACTGTGCCTGACGTGTTGCGGAGGACGGAGGCGGCAAAGCTCTGGGTGACGCCAACCAGACTGGTCCCGTCGACCTCCACTATCAAATCGTTCACCTGGATCCTGAAAGAACAGCAGAAATAGACCCACTGTATGCTGTCACAGAACCACCGTAAGTGATATTCTTAACATCAGTCCAAACCGCCAGTGACTAAGTCCCAAGTATCAGAAAGGAATAAGCTGTAGAGAACAGTTTCAGTGACACCAGAGGCCAATGAGACTTGAACTAAAGCTTTAGATTAATTGACGCCTATAGAGGCTTTCAGATATACTGACACCTTTTGAACAAGTCCAAAAAGGTCAGTAGAATTTATTAGGATTTTATGTAATAAGCTGTGTTTCCATAACAAATGCCCACAAATCATTCTATTCTGCTAATGCTGGAAAAAAAAAAAAAAACGCCCCACAATTTTGCCTTTAAATAAGAAATGGAATTATGTTTGTAGAAATTATGGCAGTGATTGATGCACAATATTACATGACCTACTCCTAATTCAGCGACCATTTTACAGAAGAGCTACGGCTTCAACATGTTGGAATGACGCAAAACATTCCAGCATGTGAAGCCGTCAGAGCTCCGGTGGAGCCAGCTGCACACTGACTGAAAAAACAAAAACAAACCGTCATCCTCCTACTCCTTCCTGTCGTCCTCTTCGTCATTTCCACCAGCAGCAACATCTGTTTGTCAATCACGTGACTCGTGATGTGAATTTTTTTTTTCTATTGCAGTTTTGGGAGATACATCTATTAAACGTCACTTTTTAAAAACAATTGTCAAACTTGCCGTTTTTCTATTAAGCAAAGTTATTTTCGAAATTTAACTAAGTAGTGAAAACTAGCTCCTCATTCTACGGTTTGCTTCATACTGAGGGTGTGGACCTTCAGTTGATGATAAATGGTTGCTGCCTGAAGCCGTGGACTCTGTCAAAGTTCTAAACTTCAGATTGCATCTGATTTTACTCAATTTTAAAGTTCAGCTGTAATGTATGTGACGCACCACCTATTCTATCGCCGTCCCACACTTCAAACAGAGACTTGCTGAGCTGAACAACATTTTTGCCAGTGATAAAATGTCTTAAACATTCCTCTTGCTTGGACTTTCATTGCTCAATATTTGGAGGTGTGGTCAACATGGACCGAATGGCTTTTCTTAACTTCTTTTTCCTGCCGTTGCCAAACTACAACTATAAACAGGCAAAGTACAATTGTAAACAGCACAAAAGACTGAACATCATCATTCACAACTTCTCTTGCTGGCGTGGTTGAAATTCTATGTGAGAAATCAAGTTCAATGGAAGAAATCGAATATGGCACACTGGAGGGAGATGAGAATCAAGCAGAATTGGATATGAAGGCAATGGCCAGCGTAATGAGAAGTACAATGAGACATGGAAAAGTTTAACAAAAATTTAAAAGGAGCAGCATTAATTTGTTTCTAACCTTGTTTAGTTTGATGCACCTGAATGAATTCCAGGAAGGTTACTGGTTAGAAGTTGGAAATTATTCAAGACTGGGGTTTTTATTAGCCAAGAATGCTCAAAAACTTTCATCTTTGTGAATCCACTTCACCATCACGCAGTGCTTCCAGTTACTCCATCACAAAATTATAATACAATAAGGCATCAAAGTTTGTGGACACACGTCACAAATCGTGGAAAAGTTTGCATAGTTTGGTAAACCACTGTAAACATCGTTTTTCCATTCAGCCCGTCGATTCCGTTCTAGTCGAAACAAGCATCAGGACGAGTGCAGACAGGCGGGCAGCTTACCTGCCGTCTCTGTGAGCGGCTCCACCCTCTGTGACCGTTTTGACGAAGATCCCCAGCTTCTCCAGGCCCATGTCAGCGCCTGCTCCCATGCCAATGATACTGATCCCGAGGCCGTCGCTGTCTGAAGAGCGCAGAGACAAAAACAAATTGAGGAATATCCTGTTCTACTTCTTGCTTTTGCTTATTAGTACATGGTATCTACTAAAAAGTTAGTACATTAACTAACTTCAGACAGCCGATCCATACACTTATTTTCCAGTCAGTCTTTTGATACCATGCTTGTCGAAACAAGTACTTCATAAATTTAGAAATATTATGAAGTGTGTCAGATCCATTGTGTCAGTACAAAAACGCAAAATATAGAACCACCATGAATTCATAAAATGGACGAGCTCTAAGGAGGAGTTACTGAAAGCATTCTTAGTTTCTATCAGTGTGATTCATTGATTTCAGAATGTCTCTTCTGTTCAGAGGTTTGTAGATGTTTGTTTCTGCACATCCCACCACAGAGCTTTAACCAAACTGAGGCCTTGACTGTGACAAGCTCATTGCAACAGCTTGTTTTTAAGCCTGTCTGTTCTAAACAGAGCCGTGGTTCAATTGAGCTAACTTTTTGCCAAGCTGTTGTACATTAACCTTTATTTTTCTCTTAACCTTGTTGCAGGCTGTGTAAAACCATTTAGTGTTCATAAACTGTTTCCTCCTTTACTTCTTGCATGTGTTGAAAACTGTCCCTTCCTGTTGATCTCAAGTTGAACCTTACTATTTTGAGAACTGATTATAATTTGCAGGGAAAAATCATTTTTTCTATGTCCTGAATCCTGCCACAAAAGGCATACCTGACTTTTACCACTTTCTCACACATGCTTGTGGACACCAAATGTCCTACGCTAATAAATGCTGTTGTTGTATTTAACATGCTGCATGTTAGCATTCTAGTTATTATGCTAATATATGTAAATATTGTAGCTACTGTGGTTAGCATTATATTTTATTGAGCTTAAACAAAAAAAGTGTCCTGATTTTAGCTAGTATGCTAACAGTATTGTTGACGTCATTCGGACAGTTATTAGCTAAATATGCTAATATCTATTGTAGTATTGTAGTTAATATAGTATTAAGAGGTACTATGTATTAGCATAGTTACTATGCTAATACAGTTAATTATAATAGCTAATACATGAATAAATATTAGCATTCTAGCTGTGATGCTACTACACTTCTTTTTATTACTTCCCTATATTGTCGATACCACACTAAAACATGTTTAGCTACTTTGCTAATGCATGATCGTACTGTTGCTATTATACAAAAGATTGTTAGTATTTCAGCTAAACAGGCTAATATGCTGGATTCATGGTTACAAAGCTACTACGCTAAAACGTATTATTAGTACTGTAATAAATATTGCTGATTCATATTAGTATTGTATTTAAAATACATACATACATTGCTGTCATATCTAATATTACAAACTAGCCATCATACAGACCAGCTGGTTCTAATCTATTACCTCCAGAATGACTAGCTGCTAATTAGGCTAATCCACACAAACTTTAATCCCATAAGAAGATAAGAGTTACTCCCAGACAGACAGTGTATGTCCTCTGAGAGAACCCCGCCTGTGTAAGTGTGTGTATATGTGGTGTGTGTAGTTACATAAGAGACTTGACAGAGTGACTCTGGGCGACTTTAAACATGTGTGCAAACCTTTCTCCAGCTCAACGGGAAACAAATCCAGCTTCTCGACTCTCTTTTCAAGCTCATACTCGGCCGAGGCAGCCATGGGGTCAACGTCGTCGTTGCGCCGGTCGTAGTCTTCATTGGAGTAGGTGGTGAAGACCTGTGCATATGACAAAAGCTAAAGGTCAGGCAACTCAGCACTTCACTGAAATGTCAAAGAAAAATAATTCTGCATGGTTGGACTTTTTTGGCCTAAATGTGAACCATGACTTTTGTCCCTAATGGAAAGGACAATGGTCAAAGTTAATGGGATAGATGATCGAGACACCGTCCAGCAGCACTAGAATAGTTTAGATCAAAACATATCCATGGGTTAGAATGACCCAGTCAAAGTCCAGACCTGAATTCAATTGCGAATCAGTGACAATACATGAAAATAGCTGTTCATTGATTTTCTGGAGCTATTTTAGACATTCCCCAAAAGACTGGTGGAATGTTGTTCAACTATTTATTGGCTTTTGAGTGTCTGAATATGAACTTTTTTGAAAATAAATTTGAAAAACTACAACTACACCATAAATAACGCTCCACCTTGTGCTGTTCAGTCACATAAAATCAGTGTTGCACATTGAAGATTGTTCTTATATCATGAGGGAAAAAAAAAGATACATCTGCAAATAGATTTAGACACATAAATATGTATATTCATGTATCATCATTTGAAGGAAGAAGTGGCTTTATGTATCTTTTTGTAAATCTCAAACAATGTGTGCCTTTCCTTTCACTGCACCCTCTCATTTGTGCTGCTATCTATAATTCCCCTCCCCCAACCCAAAAAGGTCAACAGCATCGGTTTCCTTGGTAACCATCTTGTTGATCACATGGCTGCATTTCGATGGAAGCCTGACACATTCAGCGTCAATCTAGCAGAGATACATACATACCCATCTGTCTGTCTGTCTGTCTGTCTGCGTGTGTGTGTGTGTGTGACAAAAACCAGAGAGCTGAAGGATTTTATTGTGTGGGAGGTTTGTCTTACTGTATTATTTACGTTCCAGTGTGCAGAAGACACTGTCTCTCTGCCTCTCTGTCACAAAACACACACACACACACACACACACACACACACACACACACACACACACACACACACACACACACACACACACACACACACACACACACACACACACCAGCAGAAAGCGGGTCATAGGGCAGTATTGTTCGACTGCTTCCTGTTGTCATGCTTCCTTCCTGTTGAGTAACTTTAAAGCTGTGTAAATGTCTGCAAGAGCTTGTCTGCAATAGGGTCCTAAAGTTCCCTGCAGCCGAGCAAGAACTACCGAGTCAACCTAAGAGAATAATAAAAACAAAAAAAATAGAACAAGGACAAATCACAATGTTGAACCAAACGTATCGAATCCATAACCAGATAGGGGTTTTTGAACTCAGCAGAGCTCACTAGTTGAACTTGCATCAACTCTTATGAAACCTTCAGCTTCCCCTTTTTGTGTTCAAATGTTGAAATAGGTGAGACTTTTGCTCTTATTGCTATTCCCATTTCATGGAGACGTGTTGAATTTCCATGACAAAAAATAAAACAAAACAAAAACAACAACAAATCCCACCAATGGGAGAATATTTTCTCCCATGAGCCAATGCTGATTTTTTTTTCAGCGTAGGAATCCTGGACTCCAGTGTAATTTGACTGCATGATGCAGGCCACAGCATGTGGTTCCACATGAGACCGGATGGACTTCAGTAAAAACGCTGTGACACAGCAGCCTGGGAAACCAATCCGGCATTGACAAACAGAATCCGGATCACAACGTAAGTGGCTGGAATGTGTGCATCTAAACTGTTGCTTCCATACGTCTGTCCTGTTTTCATAACCTCGATTTTAGCATCTGCCGTCATTCCAGCACCGTGGAAGGAACCTCCGTCTGGTGACACTGTGAGGTTTTAGTGTTTCGTCCAGGTTCCACCGATTACACTGAAGATCGCGTCTTCTCTGTGTTTAGTTTCAAAGTTCTTTATTAAATCCCTTTTCCTCTATGTTCATACTGCTGAGTTCGCTCTCTTTTGGGTCCTCAACCATGATTTATGTCAAAAGGAGTGAATTCTGAGTCTCATTCGGGTGACAGAAGCTTTTTGGCATTTTTAGTGTTTTCTAATATTAGCTGACAAGACGACGTCCTTGACGATCCTATTATTTCTAGCATGTTTCCGCAGCCAACGTCTCGTTAAAGGCTCTGTCCATTTCAGATCCCGCAGCTTCCAAGAGTGGATTTCATTATTGTTTTCTTGTGCTTCAATTCATTTGTTCCTTTCTTCTTTAGACTTGGATGGATTAAGAACTTTGGGCTTGCGCTTCTGACGTCGAATTGAACCGTTGTCGAATAGCCGACCACTTTTTCCTCCCCGTATAGTTTAAGACCGTTTTTGAATGAAATTTAATACCCATGTTACAACAGAAATGTGCAAAAGAAAATGTGAGGTTTGAAATAACGGCAGTGGCAAGCTTCAGTGGACAGAGTGAATGTAGCAGCGTATGCAACGGCAGCGAGCCGGCGGCAAACATGAGCGTCAGCAAGCAAACCAGCACAAAAAGCTGGCTGACAAGGGAGGGTTAGCAGCTAGTTAGCAGCTAGTTAGCAGCTAGTTAGCAGCTAGTTAGCAGCTAGTTAGCAGCTAGTTAGCAGTGGCTTCCTCCACCTTGAGTCATAAAACCAAATGTGACTTGAACGTTTGTCTGGCAGAAAATTTCAGGAGAAAAACAAACTATATTAACTATACAAGATTAAATAATCCTGCCAGGACTAAAATGTAAGACCAACTTCCACTTTGACATGAATTTAAGACTTTTTAAACATGCGCACACACTCCGCACATAAAACAACACCAGAATCAATGTAGCAGAGCAACACAGAACATGCCTTTTTCATTGCAAACGTTTTTCCTCTTTGTCAGCTCCACGGTTTGTGCTTCTTTCTACACCGAGCAGATCAGCAGGAATCAGAAACGTTTGGCTTATCGGCTACCTTTAAAAGCACACACCAGGTGGGCTTTCATCCAGACAAAGCTACACTCTGTGAATCTTATCTATCGGCTTCCCTTAGTTGAGCTGAGCGTGTGTGTGTGTGTGTGTGTGTGTGTGTGTGTGTGTGTGTGTGTGTGTGTGTGTGTGTGTGTTTGTGTGTGTGCGCGCGTACGCGTTGCCCTCCTTTTTTCCAAGGAAAACAAACAAACTCGACCACATTCCAACTGCCGCCGACGCGCTCACAGAGGCAGCCCTGTGCTCACACCCATCAAATGCAGGCAAGATGAGGGACGTCGGGGCGGGAGGCCTGACCACCGATTCTCAGCCTGTTACCACCTTCCACCGGCTGCTGAGTCTGTGTGACGCTGCAAAGTCTGCAGAGTCTTTTGAAAAGTGTTGCAGTCACGTGACGTTCCAGATGTAGCGTGAATTTTACAACGGGATGCTCAGCTGAAGAAGGTGGCAGTCTTGCAAAGCTCCACCGGGGGGGAGAAGTTTGAGCTCTCAACACATATTATCAGAACAGCAATTAACAACCAGCCTTGAGACGTAATTACAGCGAACAAGCCCAGGCTGTGGATCTCCTGGGAAGGAGAATGTTTCTCTGACTGCGGCTGCAAACCTCAAGAAGAGGTTTCTCCGTCTGCGCTAGTTCTTCCACACACATCTGGTTTAGCCATAAAAATCTGGCTTAAGGTACCTGGCAAAAGTATTTCGATGTACATTTTTTTGGGTGGGATTTCAAGCGGAAGGCCGACAGAAAGTCGTGCAGAGCAGTGAGGCTGAGGGGGAACTGCACACCAGTTTCAAAATCTTTACAAATGAAAACTTGAAAGCCACGGGTTGCCTTTCCATTCGACCACACAAATACCTGCAGGCCAGAAGTTTGATGATGTATCAGACTTAAATAAAAGTACGAGTATCTGATCAGGCCTGTCACGATAACCGTTATTGCAATAAAAGATCTTCTGAGTCTGTCTTCAACCAGTATAACAGTAATGGCATCATAATGCAAAGATTAATGACCTTTAAATTCTAATGGGCATTTAACACTGAAAGGCATCTAAAAATATCCAACATAAACAAACAAAACAAATAAAGTGGATACTGAAGGTTTCTGCCATGCAGACATGAGAAAAACAATCATGCACATGGAAATGATGGCTTTCATTTTAATTTGTTATTAACTGACCCTTTGTTTACTCGGAGTCAGATCAATACGCCCAAATTGCAGTGAATGGCATTAAACTGTTAATAATTAAATAACTGTTTGACGCAGCTGAAGAATCATTGCGACATAAAATGTTTTATAAGAAGCTCAAACCTTTATCAGCTGTGATGGTATCAATGTTAAAATCTAGAGAACTGTTTGGTTTTTTTCCCCCCACTGCACGCTCTCATTGAAGAGTACTTGCAAACAAGTGTGAGGCTTTTTCTGTCGCCCGAAAGAAATAAAAATCAGATATTTGTGCTTCATGTGAAGGACCTGCAGCATGCCGCGGTTTGTACCGCCCGAGGCGACGCAACACAGGCGACCGGTTAAACGCTTGGTCAAGAAAACGAAAATCCCTCGTCACATGAAAAGCACACCGTTTTCCACAACCCTCACCGTAAGACAGCAAACTGAGCGAAATCTGATCCTCCTAATCAAAGCACGTCATTTAGCCGCCCGTGTTCTCAAGTTCCATCAAACGGAAACACTTTGCCATCTCTCACTCTGACGAGCCGTTAAATGCTCTGCATGGCAGAGGAAGGATGTCAGTGGTGTTGTGACTATTCGTGCGAGCGGAGACATGTTTCACAACGCAACCTGGCTCACTGCTGCAGTCCTGCAAGGAACAACAAGAGCAAAGTTGGAACAAAACCAAAAAAAAGAAGCTTTAAAAAAATCGAAAGTTTGGACTGGTAAACATTTTAAAAGAGTAGAGGAAGTGTTCGACTGACTTGGTGTATAAAATAAGACAATATTGTGTTTATTTTATTTATTAAACCGAGGATGACTCAGCATCCTGCAGAGCCACGTTCAGTGTCAGTAATATGAGGGAGTCATTGTCTCTGTTGTGCTATCAGTCCTCTGTATCTCTTATAAACAACGTTCGGTTTCACAACATTTATTTCTGCAGTTTTTTTCCGTTGCGTCCGAGGAGTCTTGCTGTTTCAGTCATGCTGCTACTGAGTGACCCAGTTTGGGCCGAGTTCTAACTCTCAGACCTGGTCTTGACACGCAGGAAACTCGTGGTCAACTCGACGGCGGCGAAGGCTTCAAAACGAGCCCACAGCATGAGCGCTCCGCCACCGTGCATCGCGTTTGCGCCGACATGTTTCGTTTGGTTGAAATGTGACAGTAATTCTGCTCTCATCTTTCTTAGGGGCGTCTTAGTTCATTCGGATCATTGCTCTAATTGGATGCAAATAACTGTGGGAATTCTCCTTTATGTTGTTCATGTATGGGACAAAAACGTGGGCGATTTATTTTATCACGTATTTTGGTCTAGTTTCTTGTGCAAAAATGTCTTAGTTCACTTGAAATAAAGCAAAACCAACTGAGAGCTAACTTCCCACAGGAAAATGTTTTGTTCCACTGCCAGATTGTTTTACGTATAACTAATAATTTTTCCTCAAATGTATGCCTTTGAAGGAATCCTATGGTTTTGCATTTTAGGCATTATTTTAAAAAAGAGCTGAATAATTTGTTTATTTGTGGGGGGTTTCCAAATGTGTTTCTAATATTGCATAAGCTGAGATGGGTTAATGAAAAATCTCCAGAAAGTACAAATTTTGTTTATCCAACCAAACGATTAATTGTCAGAGTTAACTGATTAATTATTCAGTTAACTGATTAATTATTCAGTTAACTCTGATGACTAATTGATTATATTTTTTCCAGAGACAGTTGCGTTATGTCTCTGTCAACTTTGGACATCAAATCTACAGAATCAAAGATTTGCTTCTTTTTCAAACTGGAGCATCAATTTTTAAGGCTTGCAACAGACTGGACTTTGACTGGGACATTCTAACAGATAAACAGGATTTAATCCATTTCGCGATTAAAGTCTAAAGTCTGCTGCAGCCTCCAACGCCTTTTCTTGCTCCATCCGTCTTTTCATAAACTTTAAACAGTTTCCCTGTCCACAAGGTTTGGACAGGGACATTCTCCCTGACCTGTTTACCCAAATTTCAGAAACCTTCTAACATTTAAAATGTACGCTTTAATGGCCGGTAAGGTGGGTTGGAGGACCGAAAGCCAACTGACCTTGATTGGGTCTGTGCTGAAGCGAATCTTTCTGCTGGGAGGCGGCGCCTCCTCTTCTTCGGGGAGACCGGGCATCTCAGAGCAACTGCTCTCTGGCTGATACGGCTCCTCGTCTTCTTCGTCATCCTCGTCGTCCAGCTGGCTTCCCCCTGAATCCTCCTCGCCGATGCCGCTGTAAGCGCTGACTTCTACGAGATCTCCCTCCGAGTAATCCTCCCTGCGTGAGCCGTCCTCGTCGTTCTCGTCCTCTGCTGCTTCCCTCCAGTCAGAGTCTTCTGTCTCGCCGGAGGAAGGCGGAGGTTCTTTCTCTTTCTTTTCGAGTGAAGCATGAACCTCGGCCTGCGCCAGCGTCTCTCCGGTTGCCTCGTTGGACACGTCCTTTTCTTTGGCCTGGGACTCCACCGTACTTAAATCCGTTTCTTCGCTTCCTTCCACCTGGGACTCAGGTTTTGCCTCGAATGAGGCAGATGTTACAGTCACTGTAATTGAAGGCGTTGATGAGTTTAAGTAGTGGTCTAATGACAGTCCAAACCCATCGTTTTCTCGGCATGTATCCTGTCCTGCAGCGCTCCTTTGTCCAGGACCTGCTGCTTCCGGTGGCAGAGCCGCCGTGGCGTCTGTTGATTCTGCTGTCATCTCCTTTTTGGCCTCCTTACCAACAGAATGGGCCTTTGAATGCAAAAAAGATCTGTTTTAACTCAGTTAATTCAAAAGGGGGTTTTTTGTGCCAGTGTTCAACACCTTTTACCTTTTTTTCAGTTGCGTCTCCTTTAGCTGGAGGTTTGGGTTTTGGCGCTAAGGCAGGGGCTGACCGACGCTGGGGGAGGTAGAGGTTGTTTCGCACGTCGCCCTTTTCAAACGCCGCGCTGAGCTGGCTCACAGTGGGGCTGACCGCCTCACCCGGGCCAACCGAAGCCGCAGCCGATGGACCAGAAGCAGGACTGGGCGCTGGAGGGTCATCCAGTCGGTCTAGAGCTTCTGTTGACCCGTTAAAGCGGGCCACGACGTCTAGACGGCTGTCCTGAAAGCCCGAAGCACGCTCCTTTTTCAGCAAGATGCGGTTGGTAGCAGCTTGCTTCTCCTGACAAAGAAACACCAATCAGTATCAAACCTTATGGCAAACGAATGACAGGGAGCCGACGCATTGAGGAACTTACCTGTAGAGTTCGTTGTTCAAAGATTCTCCTGGTCTCCTGGAGCTTGGACAGACCAAAAGATGAGTTTCCACCTTCTGATCCTGTTTTAGAGTCAAACCTGTTGACTCTCTCTGTGACTGAATCTCCAAGTTTCAGCAAGGCGCTGTGGTTGACATTCTCGTTGAGACTTGAGGCCCTTGGAATCGATAGTTTCAGCGCCTCTTCCTTACCTTCAAATGACAAAAAATGTATTAAACAAATGGTTTAAAACAACCTAATTGGGATGTACCACGAAGGAGTCTGCCTACCTAACATTTTGGCACCATCCTCTTCATCACCTGGAGACTGCATCTGCATGAACATGTTCTTGATGCGGTGGACGTTGGATCCGTACCGCTTGCCCCTTCCAGTCGGGCGGGGCAGAAGGGGAGGTTTGGAGCCGGGGTTGGGAGCGCCGTTGGCGGCATTGTTGAGGTGGTCGGTGGCCTTCTTCAGGGCCGCCAGCCCTGCCTCGTAGGCATTGCGGTGAGGTGAGGGACTCCGCAGGTTGGAACCCCCGTTGTTCCCACCAGAGGCTCCGTTTGCCCCTGTGGCCGATGGGGGTTCAGTCTTCATCATTTTTGGTAAATCAAAAGCCCCTGGGTGAATGGCAGATTAGCAGGGATAAAGGGGGCCACATCCTGGTGCTGCTTCACGTTCGCCTCCTGTAGACAGAGCAATGATGGCTGTTGATAAGTGTTTAGTATCTATACTTAGGGTTAGGGTTAGGGTTCACTTCATTGTCAGACATTTTTGAACATTATGAAGATCAAGCTTTATAGAAATGCTCACATCTCTCAAATAAGTTCACTTGACTACTGTTATCTTTTGTTTGAATATTTCTAACGACAACACATAATGCTTTCCATTGTCACTTTTCATAAAACAAACACAATATGAACATCTATATTGAACAAAACAGAGGGCGCTCTAAACATGGCAGCGTTACAGCTGCCCCTGTAGGACGCTGGTTCAGACCGAGTTTTTTCTTTTTTTCTTTTTAAACATGTCAACTAATCAGTAAATTACAGGTCAGACAATTCCTTAAAAAAAAACCTGTCGCTGACCATTTCTGAGCGACAGAGACAATCGGCTTGGATTCTTATGCACGTATGATGCAAGAGACGTTAATCAAGGATTTGAAAGTTATGTCTTCAAGCCCGTTAGGATTTTGCGTCACACCATATTTCCAGCTAGAAGGGAAAAAATCGCCAAAAAACAAAAAATGCAAAGTCAGCTATTCAGAAATACTTTGGATTGCAAAAAGTCAGACAAGTCAGTAAACTAAGGTGCACCAGACATCGCTCTTCAAATGCTAATGCTGTATTCAAATGGCGGTCTATCAATAACTAGTTAATATTCACATAATAATGACTGAGCAGATAGTCTGACTGCTTAACCTCAACACATTTTAGAAAACATTACTATGAATGTAATCATCAACTTTCAGGTGCAGTAGACATGAATGATGGGTTTGTGTTGTAGAGAACAGCAATGAAATTCTGTCCTGATATTTTGTTTAACGTTTTAGCAGAAATTGTGTCAAACTGACAACTTCACTGACGGTAAGAATAATATAATGAATGTGGACCAAATGATTCAAAAGGTAATCCATCAGACAAATACGCAGCTGCTTGTCTTTGTAATCGTCCTTTTGGAAAAAAAAAAGAAGTATATTCTGGAGACTCTGATGACCTTTTAAGTAGTCAAAAGGATTAATCTCGTTTTTTCAGCCGCGTCTATGGGATTTGTGTGAGAAATCACAGCTGAGGTGTGAGGATTCAAACCACCAGTGAGTCCACTTTGGACATAAAACATAAATTTGCTCTGAATTCGAACAGCGCAGAACAGGCACTGTCTGAGAGCTGTCCAAAAAACCCTGAACTGGTCTTGCGGGTTCACAATCAGTGGAGTGAAAATGATGATGATGATGATGACGTTACCAGTACAGATGTATTTGGGTCATGTTTCATCACACTACTGAAAAAAAAAAAAATCTTTAAAAAGTCTTAAATTCACGTGTCTAAAATGAAGGCCGTAAAGTTTCAACTCAGTTTACAAAAGTAAGTTGATATTTAAATACGTTAACCACAGGTCTTTCATTTTGTTTTGACTGGGGTATTTTATCTTGCTTGTTCTCATACATGTTTTTTTTATTATTATTATGAAACTTTCCTTTCAGGCAAAAGTTTGAGTCATGCCCAAACATATTCACTGTGTTCTGCACCTCAACGCAGTTGAGACTACAGACAATTATTTGCTAATATCCTCTTGCTATCTAGCTTTTTTAACTTCTGTTGCTAACTCATACCCATAAGCTTGGCCTTATGGGGGTTATATGTAGTGTAAGAAGCATAAAGCCATAAAAATTTAGTGTGCTTCATTGTAGTACATCAAGATCCCTCAATCTCCCCTGAATTTACAATTTTTTCTGTCTTAAATTGATTCAAGGTGACAGGAAAAAGACCTTTAAAAGTCTTTCATTGGACTTGCTGAAACTGTAGATATCTTGAGAAAGGTGTGTGTGACATTTTGATGCCTTGATCAAACACAATTTACTACTTACAGATGAGTGATGCTGAGGTATCCCAAGCAATTAATCATTTGACTTTAAATATGTATGAAGAGACTGTAAGGGAACTAGCTACCTGAGCAGATAGCTTAGCTAACTCATCAATTGCAGGGTTTCCCTCAGAAAACCTGCTAAGCCCAGCGGTAGGGGCGCAAGGGCAGTCCACCAACACATTTTTTTTTAAATGTTAAATTTATTTATTTTTAATGACAAATTTCAAAGCTGCACAATCAGGCATCATAATTTGAAAATAGCAGTGTGTGAGGCCAACGGACAAGTGCAGGGACGGCACAGACCTTCACATCCAGTTCAATGCGTCAACTATGAATCTAGCTTAATCCATTTTTACTGTTTTTGTTACTTGTGAATAAAAAAAATTCCAGTTTGCAATAAGCAAATGGTACTCAGCCTGGTGGGGTCGGCAAGTAAAGCCTGGTGGCCCGCCAGGCTTATATTATAGCATCCTTTCTCCAACTTATTCTCTATTAGTGCTCAGTCTTTAGTTGTGGTTGCTGCAATCAAACTCATGCAGGTGTAACTAAAGATAAATTGCAGAACAATAAATAAGGCCAACCATGTCTGTGTGCCAGCTTATTGTAAACATTGTTTAAAGGCGGTCTGGGGAATAGGAAGGAGTGTTTACGCTACTGTCTGGTCCCACAGCAGCTCCAGATGGCACTGCTAACACACATACTTACTGCAACTGCAGTCTTGTGACACTTTTTTTTTTTTTGGCCAAATAATGGATTTTCGTACCACTGATCATGTGGAGCAAACAAGATGCAAACAATCTTTACAGAGGCCTAGAGGAAAATACACACGCACACCCACACGCATATACATACAAAAACACACAAAGAAAAGCAAACGGCTGCTCTGCGGCTCCTCGCCTCTTTCCTGTTATTGTTACCATGAAGCTGGCGGCTCCTGCTTTAGGTGGAAAACACGGGAGAACAAAAGCTGGATTCAGTAACCCCACCTCTGCGTGACTTTGGTGCATCTCTTCTTCATTGGTGAGGAAGAAACAGCAAACTGCAGCCGCAGTGCTCTCCCAAGAACAACTCCATCTGCCTCCTGCTGGGTTCCAAATCCCCTGCGGTTTGGAGCTGTTTCCTGCTATTCAGCCTGGATGATCACTCCTAATTGCATCTACGTTTTTATTCCCCTTTAAAGATGGAGACTTTTGCTGTTTGGTGAGAGGCAGCTAGCAGAAATGTATGTCTAGGCCCCAGTTGGGAGTAGCAGAACGTGCAGAACCCGTCCAAGGATTTATGCAGCTCTAAATAGGATTCTACTAGAACCTGCAGACTTCTTTCAGAAAGCCCCCGGGCCGGGAATCAAACCCAGAACCTCATTGCTACCGACCGCGCCTCTGTGCAGCCCCAGGTGTTACATTTTAGTTGTTAAAATATATATTTTTGCTCACACACATTAGGTTTTTTAATGTAATGCTCAATGATCGGAACGTTCTCACAATGAGCAACTTCATTTTAGTAACAACTAAAAATATTGGTTAAGTCAAACAGACATAAGCGCCTTTTATTGTCAATAACTGCCTTGGGGTTAAGAAGTTTAGCTTGCTAGCAAGTTAGCTGTTCCATGTCAGAGAACAGTTCGGATGACATGTTCATGTGTGTTGTGTTGTGACTACATGTAAATATAATTAAACCCTAATAAAAGGCTGAGAAAGTTGTCTTGTTGCAGCAAGAATTTAAGATCGAATCTAGATTTGACTTCTACTGACAGTCATTTGCTAGCCAGCTAAGCTTCTAACTTTTACGAAGTTCTGTACAAAATTCTTTCTTAATAAAATAAATCAGGATCAAAAAGTCGAAACAGTTTTGTTAAGAAGCAAACTGTTATGTAATTACTTTGAGGTAAACCGACAAGCCTTTGGGTTTCTGCCGGATAAGATAAAGCAAATAAGGATAGCTAACTTGCTACCGAGCTCAGCTAGCCTGACCTTGTCGTTGTTAATCAACGACAAAACTTCATCGGCGGAGAAAAAGGTTTTCATGTCACCTTGTTGGAGTACTTCACGAATGCTTTTTTTATTTTTATATCTTCCCACAAAGAATAAAGCAACTTGCTAGCAAGTTTGATCTTAGCGCTGCTGCTACACTTATTTCTTAGCCACAAATTTATTGACAGTTCTTGACTTTTACCAAGCTGATATTGTCATTCCTAACAAACAAAAACATAAAATTATATCAGTTATTTGTCCTAGCCTCTTTAAATTCTAATCTACTCCAAAATAAAATGTTTTTTTTGTTGTTGTTGTTGTTGCACTTGTTGAACTCAACAAAAACTAACATGTTTGATTCAAATGTAATCAATTTCAATGACGAGTAATCAACATCCTCCAAAAAGTATCATTATGCTGTATGGGTTGTTTTACAAATTAATAGATCAACTCAGTAAAAATCAAGAAATCCAAGAAGACCGGCAGAAAAAGCACTTTTGGTGGAGTGAGAATATAAGTTCAGACCCAGCTTTACCTAATTTAGCGGCAGCGCTAACACTGAACTCGAACACACTGGCAGCCTGAGCCTCTTAACCAGGAGGCACTAGCTGCCCACCAACCACATGTCTTAACTGTGGTTGTGAAGGAAAACTTTTTACACGCCAGCTTGTTTACTAGAGATGTTTTATGCCCTTAACCACAACCCACTCATAGTCGCCGTTTTTTATACACTATAAAGTTAGATACTAACCAGATCAGCAAAATCATATGGCTGGGATGTAACTCTGTCAACTAGCTGAGTGAGCACATTTTATAAATGGGTTTGACTCTAACCAACTAGTTTTCTAAAGCAACTTTTTTCTACAACCTATCTTCCTAAATATCCATAAAAACAGAATTTCTATAAACAGCTGCACCAATTTCAGTGGTTAAATTCAAAACTGCTTTCTCAATGTACTGGCAGCACAGTTTAGCTGATGCTAACTTGTGGGGAAAGGAGTCAAGTAACAGTAACTTCCTTTAAGTAACAGGTGGGGGTGGGGGGGGTCACTTTTAAGATTTTCACTGGAATCACATCAAATCACTTCAGCAAAATCTCAAACATTTGAGATTTATTTTATTTGCTCTGATGCAAATAAGACACTGGTTGGTTTTACTTCCTCTTTGTGACATTTATCCTGCAGTACCTATTGTAAATGCATGTGGACGTAATGATGCAAATTTGGCAATTACGTCAGTTAGCAACTTTTACCGCAGCTATTAGCTATCTTCCCTATGACCAGTGTGCCACACTGGGGCTGAAGGCCTGAAGCGGCTACTTAGTTCCCTTATGCCTTGGGCTGGCTCTGCTTCTGCGCTTAAACCTGTTTATTAAAGGCCATAAAAGCCGCAGTAAAAGCTCTGCCTCTGTCCCAGCACTTCCCTTTATTCAGTTCTTTCTGCTGGAGCGACTTCTGCAGTCTGAATCCGTGGATTAGATTCTTTCTCTGAGCATCTAGTGTCAGGAGATTCCGGCCTCCTGCGGCAGATGCCACGCGCCCATCAGCGCATCATCTTTCTCATCTATCCCCACCTAATCTCTTCTGTCCTCCTCACTAAACATTTGGCAGCAAATACACACACACACACACACATAGAGAGAGAGAGAAAGAAACACACGCATGTGCATCTGGCCGGTCACATCAGCAGCACCGGGTCACAGCGGCGTTGTGTGTTTTTTCTCCTCAGTGATGCCCGCACAGCATCTCCCCGTCGCTGCTCGTCTGCGTGCGTCACAAGCACGCAGCGTCCGACAGAAGGCGCATTATAGTAAACACAATGAGTCCGTCTATTCCCACGACGGTCCCCGCATCTCTGCAGGAGACAGTCGGGCCCGGACTGCTGCTGCTGGTCAGGATGTTTGTTTAGAGCCACTTCTTCATACATCTGTTTATACGTATATATTTTTACCCCGACTGTGCAAAATGCATTTGTTACTTTCAGTTAAACCGCGTGTAGGAAGATAGAAAACATATATATGTATTTGAATTTTATAGTTCATTTTTTATTTTAATTCCAGCATTTCAATACTTCTCATTGGAGCCGAATGACTCAAGAGACGATGTGGGTTTGATGTCCATCCGGTTTGACATCCTCAGTGTCAGGCGTCTCTGCCGGCGAGGCTCAAAATGTCAAACTGCTGATTTCCATCATGGAGTTTGGCGGCGGCGCGTTCGAACAGGCGAGCGGACGTTCCGGACGTGCGCTCGCGCTGTGATTTTTTAATATATATTTTTTTCGTTTTCTCCCGGTTCGGGCGCGAGGCGGCGGAGGCCCGGCCAGAGCCGCGGCCGGATAAACTCGCTGTCCCCCCGGCGGGAGGCGAGCGGCCAGCAGGCCCCGCTGGGTGTCTGCTGCTGCTGAGCTACTGCGCTGCGCTGCGCTGCTTCCTCCCTGCAGCTTCCCCCCGCCGTCACCTCCACCCTCCCAATGCCGCCGACAAAACAGCTCGTTTAACAAGCGGGGCGACAGAAAGAAAGAGAGAGAGAAACAAAGCACCGAGCCGGAAGGTGACCCGTTCCGCCGCAAGTCATACCTGGTAATCCAGTTAGTTGTCCGTTATGATCCGGAGCGCAGACAGAGCCATTGTCCTGCCGCTGTCGCTGATTCCTCCTGTGAGCGCCTGCCTCCTCTCTGCTCCTCCTCCTGCTTTCGCTCATCATCTGTTTTCCTCCATCCCTTCCTCCTCCTCCCTCCTCCCTTCTCTCTCCTCCACAGAGTTCGCTCAGAACCGGCCAGATGGTGGACTCTAATTGTAATCTCGGTCTGGCGCCAGGGCCGGTCCAAAATGGTTTGAGGCCGGAAGTGGAATCGAAAAAGCTGGGGGGGCCCCGGGTTTCCCTCAACAGCTATTTAGACCAGAACGCCTCCCAAATAGAAAATCATGAGACGATTAAAACATTTTTGAATGTGATAATTATTGGTCTATTCAAGATAAATTCAGTTAAAAAAAATACTTCATTGATCCCAACAGGAAATGAATTCATACAATTGAATGTAATGCATCTTAAAATAGTTTGAAATTTGTAGACTTTTTTTTTCCCACCCTCACTTTTCCACTAACTCTATAATCAGAACAGGCATCTCCAACCGGAGGCTCCAGAGCCGACAAATGATTTTAGATACAGATATACTAACACCTGTGGGTTTTTATTATTAATGAATCTTTTCCTCGAGGAATAATTGCAGTGAGATTCCATCTGAGATCTTTAAATACATTTCAACAATAAAATTATCCTCGCAGATTTGTTTTTGCCAACAGGTCATGTGACGTTTGTAGCTCTAATGAGCTTTATTTCATTGGAGTTCACATTATTCACTAAATAAACAGCAAACATATTAAAAGTTAAAGTTTTGTTTTTTTTCTCCGTTACTCATTTGTTGCATTTGCTGCGGTGCCAGACAACAGCTTAACTTGCTTGTGACTTGGGCCGGCTCTGGTGGCACAGAGGAACTCCCATCCGTATCAGAATTCAGGGAATTTTATCAAAGACTTATTGGTTCAGATTTTTTTTTTTTTATCCAAACCTGTTTCAATGCACGTTTATGTGCATTGAAACTTTGTTGAAGTTTAAAGCTTGCATCTTTTAAATGCAACTTCTTCTGAATATTATGACTTAATTCTCCTAATTTGATTGATTTATTTATTTTTCTCATCATTGACCCTGCAGCTCCTGCCTGACCTTTTATTGTTTTGGAGCAGAAGACAGTTTGATCGAGAGGCCGCTGCGGTGTGTCAGCGACACCTGCTGGCCGAACACGTGAAGCACAGCTCGCGTTCAGATCCACGGATGAGACGTGCAAATATGAAAGTGACTGTGGACAGAAGGCAGCCTGAGCAGCCCCCCTGCGGTGTGAAGTCAGGGCCAAGAGCCAGAGCAGAGCAGCTGGCCCCTCACCAACCAGACAAAGTGCCGGGGCCCCTCAGCAGGCTGAGGAGAGGCTCTGGAAGAGAAGGGGCGGGGAAAAAAAGGGGGGAAAATGATCAGATTGTGTCCAGAACACAAGGAGAATCCAGATGAGTTGTTGTTTTCCATGTATAAAAAATTATAAATAAGTTATTAAACAGGATCCATTATATTTGTTAAGTTGAAAATTATGGCTTTACAGAAAACTGCAGCATTTGTCACTTTTTCTTCTGCTCTTCCTTCACCAGACTCACCAGCCTGCAGACTTTAAATGAGCCTTTCATGAACGTCAGCATGGATTATAGCGTCCATGTGCAGCCGAGGACCTCACAGGGTAAAGGTCACGCCACTCTTTTCAAATTAGCAAAACATTTTGAAATGCAGAATCCCGTGTAAAGGCAAAATCAACCAATTAGTTCGTAAACGGAAATGAAGACACTTCTGTTGAAAGTATTTTATTTATTGCTATTCTAATTATCAGAGTTGCTGCACTTTGAGAGGTTATGATCATCAAAATGACAAGAAAGACAAGAGGCTGAGAATACTTTCATTTATGGGTAATAAATCTATTTAATATGGATTTGGCTTTATGAAATGAGTGAAAAGAATGTTTGCATTTTTCCCTGACATGTTATGATTTTTAATAATAATATGCAACATGTTAATATGTCAAGTGAAAGTGATCGGATTTGAATTTATTCAACAAATGTCATGTTGCTTTGTTGTTGTTTTTAATTCTTCATACATTCCCTAATTTGTTAAATTGGCATTTTAATATAAAAGCAGATTTGTTCATAATAAAAATAAGACTTACAGGCTTCCCTGGTACAACATCTAATATGGACACTTAATTATTATTATAATTATCATGTTTCAGTGTTTTATTTTCACCACTTGGAACCTGTAGTAATCAAATGTGGCCAGAGGAGGGCAGCACAACTAGGTTTTTCCCCAAGTGGACTGATTTCATTTTTTTTATCTTCAGTTTTACTTTAGAGTCAGTATTATGTAACTACTAGTAACTATGTTACCTTTAGCTGTTATAAAAATGCTGCATAAATCAAAAATGACTTAAAAGAAATTTCACTTTGTGACTTAGTGCCTTGAATTTCTGCTTTTTTCTCTTAAAAAAAAAACTCCAGCTCATCACAGCAGAATCAACCAATTCTTTTATAAACAGAAGTGAAGATACTTTTCAGTTTAAAGTGTCATTTTTGTTGAATTAAAGTTATTAGCAACTTTGACCTTGTTTTTTTTTTTTTCTCAAGTCACTTGTGAATTTAATGATTTGCATTTATTGGACTTTGTGTAATTAATGGTGTACTGTGATGCACAGATATACATTATAAAGTCTCCTTAAAATGGAATTAATTTTCATAACAGCATACATGTCAAGCCCTAGAATTTGTCTGACATCCAGGAATGTGAATTTCTTTTTTGTTTAAAATCTTTAAACAAAACTTCCTGATGCACCGCTAACTAAAACCACTGGAACCGTTTGCTCTGAAGCTGCCCGTCTCCCACCTGTTGCTGAACCACCCAGCCTGCGTCCTTCCCTGTGCTTCGTTTAGGACGGTGACATGTTTCCGTCACACGTGTCGTGGAGCCAGCAGGGGAAGGGGAGAATCGGTGGTGCTTTTGTAAAACCTGAGACCGGTTTCCGCTGCTAAGTCGGCTTTTCCGGTTTGATGGGAACCGTTTGCTTCACTCCGCTTTCAGTTTCTGTTTAGACGTTAGGAGGGGAGCAGGAATGTGACTCCCTCCTCTCTCTGTTAGTCTGTATTTATCCAGCATTTTCCATACACAATAAGCTCCACATGAAGTGATTTACATTAGATAAGATCAGGAAGCAATCGGAACAAAGAAACAGTGACAAAAAGAGAGAGAAAAAACCATGGAGGGAAAACCAGAAACATGCATTTCACAAACTATTGGAATTGAGTTACTTTTTATTAGAAATAGACACTAGAGCACTTGAAATTTCTCCTCTGGACAGTAAAGTGCCCTTCTGAAATCTTTTATCGTTTGTTTTTTTGGGCAGAAGTGCCAAAGTGTAGAGTTTCTGGACCTAAAAGCTGAACTCACATGTACCCTACAACTCTGGAAAGAAAATCCAGTGTTCAGCATGAACGTCACCGACCGAGCGCTGCGGATGAAAGCAAAAAACAGAGTCATGAAACGTATAGACTTAATCAGATTTCATCTGATTAGGTACTTAAAACACAGCTACTGTCTATTAAAACACAGCTACTGTCTATTAAAAAAAGAAGAAACCAGCAGACAGAAATTGTTGAAAGTCTTTTATTCCACCCAAACATGACATGATTATGGATTTATGCTTCTGTCAGATCAGCTGACACCAGCCCAGCGGAAACACGCCGACATTCATCGAGCGTTTTCTGATCCGAGAAACTTCCGTACGCATCTCTGTGAGGTTCCACAGGCACAACGGGAGCTGCGGGTTCAGTTCCGCTCGAGGTTTCAGATCCAAGGAAAGAAAAGCGGGTTCTGTCCGGATGGAGACGACGGGTGGCGGCTCACGCTTGAGTGAGAAGAAGATGAGACGTCTGGGACTTAACACGATTCACCCACAGTATCCTCCATTCGCACACCTTCACATTCCCCCCCGTCCCCGTCTCCACGGCGAGGCTCAGCTGCTGATGACGTGCCCCGCCCAGGTCTCATGCTTGCTGCCTGGTTTGAGGTGGGTGATGTTCACCTCCACCGCCTGGATCTTCTCGTGTTTGGGAGGAATGGCGCAGACCTTGTAGGTCACTTCGTCTCCTTCCACCGGGACGTACTCGCCCTCAACGCTGGAAGGCAAAACAAAACAAGCATGAAAGGCGGGACTCACAAAATGACCCGGGGGGGTGGGAGGGGTTAGAGGTCTGTCATAAAGTGAAATCAATTAATCACACGATAAGGAAAGTGATGGTTCGTTTTTCTCGTGTCTCTTTCAGTATCCATTTTATCTGTACATTTAAAATGTCTCCCAGTTGCAGTGTTAAATATGAACTATTATTATTATTATAATACAATACATTTACACAACAGTTGTAGAACCAGTATAGTAAATTGAAATCACTTAAATGTTCCCATTTTTCTCATCAGTCTGTCTTTGCAGAAATTCCAGATCTCAGTTTGATCTTTTAATACATTTTGCTTCCCTGAGGGTCAGAAAATGAGCCTCAGAGAAGAGAACTGGAACCAGTTTAAAGCAGAAGCTTTCTGCTCAGAGTCAGTGTAACTCTGTCAGCTCATTTTCCTCCGTTCTGCTGAAAGTTGTTGTTCCATTAGGCTTCGTTTGAACGTACTCGTCTTTTTATTTCACATCCATGGGGGTGGAGGGAGTGTGTGTGCATGTGTGTGTTCCTCTGACGTCTGAGGCTGAAAACAAAGGCATCGGGGTGAAGGTGGTCCTCCTACACACTCCTCCCTGCTCTGTGCGTGTGTGTGTGTGTGTGTGTGTGTGTGTGAGTGTGCCAGATGACTGTGATTCAAACCAAAGCACCTCATTATAGATGGGGAAGCAGGGCGCACGCACGCACACACACACACACTTACTCTGAGATGTGTACAAAGATGTCGTTGCCTCCGTCTGAAGGTGTGATGAAGCCGTGGCCTTTGGAGCGGGAAAAACATTTACACACTCCAGAAAACACAGGGCCCTCTGCTGCTCGGGCCGACCTGCAGGACAGGACAGGAGGGAAAATATGGAGATATCACAAGTTATACATTGATATATGCATTTCATATCTATGTGTTTGTCACCTGTGCATCTGATCTATGGCTTAAA